TAATTATAAAAATTCTATTATTAATATTTAATATTAATATTAAGTTATTTATATTTAATAGTTATTAATATTATTAATAAGATAATATCTAAATTATAATATATTTTAACTTTTCTATATTTATTATTAAATATAAATAATTAGCTACTAATAAAAAATAAAATATAATTTTTTAATATTTTTTATTTTATATTTATAAAATTACTATTTTTTTACTACTTTTTATAATATCTCTATATTTTATATTAATAAAATTAGAATATATTATCTATAATTAAGCTAAATTAAATTTTATTATAATTTTTTTAGAAGATTATTTTTATATTTTTTTTTAAAATATAAAAAATAATATTAGCTCTAAATAATTTAATAAGCTACTTTTATATATTAGAAGTAAAAATAATATAAATTACTAGTATATTTATTTATTATTTAAATAGTAAATAGAGAATATTTTTTATAATAATATTAGTAGAATAAATTATATATAATAATATTCTTTATTTATCTATTTTATAAACTATAAATAAGAACTATAATATTATTAATTTTTCTACTATTTATTAAATAAATTTATTTATAATTTTAATTATTCTAAATTTTAAAAAATATATAATAAATTTAGGCTACTTATTTATATTTATATAATATATTTAAAATATTACTTTATTATAATATAATATTAGAATTAGATAAGTTATAAATATATATATATTTAAATAAATAATAATAATAATAACTAATATTTTTATAATTAGTAATATTAAATTAATTAGATAAGTAATATTAATATAAAGCTATTAATTTACTATATAATAAATATATTCTTTTTATTATTAGTATAATTATTATATTTTTTTTATTATTAATATATAAGTAATATTAATATTATATTATTTATTAGAATATTAAAGATAGTTAAGCTACTATAATATTATAGAATTAATAGATTAATATAATTCTAGTATTCTATATAATAGTTATAATAATACTACGATATTCTAAAGCTATATATTTCCAGTATGGAGCTAAAGCCGTTAAAAGCCAGTTGCAGCTCCAGTTAAAGACCCATTCAAGTTAGTTAAAGCTTCCGTTAAAGGCTGCTGGAACTGGGCGGCCTTAGTTAAAGCTCCAGTTAAAGCTCTAGTTAAAGCCAGGTAAACACTTAGCTAAAGGCTTAGTTAAAGACACGATAATCTTAGTTATAGTAGGGGCCCATAACAATCTCCTATCTTCACCTCCGACCCTCCGCTATCTTTCCTCTTGTTACCCCTCTCTTGCTCGTTTCCTCGCTCCTCACCATCTCTACTCGTTACTCCGTTCTTTCTTCTACTCTCTTCGTCTCTTCTTCTTTTCTTCTGTTTGTCTTTTGCTTCTTTGATAAACATTCACGTGACTGAGGCTCCACTTAAACTTTTCGAAGCTTCGACTTTGAACATTTTTTATGCGAGACAAATTTCATCGTGATAAGGAAGATCGCATTTCGACCCGAGGGATGGCAGGTTGCAGAGAGTGGTTTTGAGACACACGGGGGTTTTCCACTTACGTCTTGCGCTCTACTGCTAGGCATTGTGAAAATTCAACTGGACCTCAAGCGGCAAACGAAGTTGTGTGGGATCGCACCCAAGGCGCAACGTGAGAGACGATTTTGACGCAACTGCCGTTGGACTCGAATTTGATACTGATACAACGAAACTACCTATTGTCCGGTACCTCCTTTCATATACAGCTCGAAATGTCCTCCCAGAATGATGCAGCTGCCAGTACGGCGGCGCTTCCAATGTCCAATCTAGAAGCATTTTTAAAGCCATCTCCTGTTCTATATTCCGGATCAGTTGCTGCAGCAAAAGGATATCTTGACTCTCTTACACAGGACTTGAGACAAGAGCAGCGTGGACAAAAACGGAAGCAGCGTACCCCAGTCCCCCAAGCCCATCAGCTCCATGTCAATGGGTTCAACCACAATCAGATATGGGAGCAAGCGAAGCGCATCCTGGATTCAGCGTTGACAATATCTTCCCGGGACCTGGACAGGTTCAATGAACGAAATACGGCATTATCCAGGCCTTCCAAACCGAAGTTCCCTGAGGATGACGAGAGTATGTCGGACGATGTGGAAGACGATGAGGAAATGGAGGACGGTGAAGATAGTGAAGACAACGAAGAAATGCTGGACTTGGGAGATGAGGAAGAAGTCGATTTTGGTGAGGACTATGGCGAACCATTACCAGAGGAAGAAAATGAAGAGGTTGAGGAGGAGGAGGAGGAAGAAGAAGAAGAAAAAGAAGACGGAACTTTGGAGGGAGACGAGTCCCCGCGTCCCGATAAAAAGAAGAAAATCGATCCCCATAGCCTGAACGATGATTTCTTCTCATTAGAAGAATTTAACAAACAGTCAGCCTTTTTTGAAAACCGGGATTCCAGGCGCCCGCATACCGATGCTGACAGTGACGAGGAGGATATAGACTGGGATGCGGACCCCCTCGCACTGCCAAATATACCAGACAAGAGAACTGTGGACGAAGACGGAAATGATGAAGATGAAGATGATATGGACGAGGACGAGTTGGACCTTGATATGGAAATACCCGACGCCAACTCTGAAGAAGGAGATGAGGATGAAGATGGTGATATGGGGTTGAACGATGACCCCCGGAACGCTAAATATGAAGACTTCTTCGATCCTCCACCGAATGCTAGTAAATCCAAATCGAAACAGACAAAGCAAACTCAAGAAGATATAGATGCGGACATTGATCGAGCAATGGCAAACGTACGGCGAGATTTGTTTGACGATGATGGAATGAGCGGGGAAGACGATGCTATGGATGGCGAGCAGTCAAAAAACATGTCCAGTCATGAAAAAAGGCGAGCACAGATCGCAGATGAGATCCGACGGTTAGAAGCTGCCAATGTTGCAAAGAAAGACTGGACGCTGATGGGAGAAGCTCAGAGCAATGCCAGACCAATCAACTCACTGATCGAAGAAGATTTGGACTTCGAGCGGGTTGGCAAGCCAGTACCCATCATCACGACTGAGGTCAGCAACGATATCGAATCGCTCATCAAACGCAGGATCATTACTAAGGAGTTCGATGATATTATCCGTCGTCGACCACTTGCTATTGGCGAACAGGGCGGAGCCACTAAGCGCAAGTTTGAGCTAGACGAGACGAAACCTCAGCATAGTCTTGCAGAGCTATATGAGCAGGACCATCTACGTGCCACCGACCCGGGATTCATCGACAAGGGAGCTGAAAAGCTACGGAAAGAGCACAATGAGGTTATTCAGCTATGGGAGCAGATTAGCTCTCAGCTGGACACCCTATCGAACTGGCACTTCAAGCCCAAGAGGCCTCAGGTTGATCTTAACGTGGTATCCAATGTCGATACGATCACTATGGAAGATGCTCAGCCAACTACTCGTGGTGAATCGGGTATTGCATCTGGAAACATGGCTCCTCATGAGATATATAACCCAAGTGAAACTAGAATGGCGGGAGAGATCAAGTTGAAGAGTGGTGTATCGTTGGCCAAGGACGAGCTGGGCAAGGAGGCTAAGCTACGACATCGTCGACGCCGTGAGGCACAGAAGAAGAGAAAGAGGGAATCCCAAGCAGCTGCCAGCAAGCCTGACAGTGCTTCATCGCAGAAGAAAGAGTTGGTTTCGAACTTGAAGAAGGGAGGCGTCAAAGTCATTGGCAAGGGAGGCAATTTGACCGACGTCCAGGGGAACAAAATCCAGGACACTGCCTCCAAGGGCCGTGAGAACCTTAAGCTGTGAATATATTAAATACAAAATCATCTGTACCTGCATACCCTCGGCGTTGGTAGAGGCTTAGAAAATAAAAGAATCAAAGGTTTTACTTTTTACTTGAATATTCAGACGTTCTCAAGGCTTTTCCATTCGTTGTCTAAGAATATACAAAAATATCCTCTCCTGTTTACAGACGTCCCGGTCAACTCCCTCCGTCACCTCCACGACATCAAATTTCTTCTTCATCTGCTTGATAAACCGCATATCGGCCTTACGCCGTTTCTTAAAGCAAAAATAACACACTACATCCTCTTCATCCAGCAGCACCTCAAGAGTCGTCAGCAGTAGCGGGAATGCTGGCTCAAAGTACACACAATCCGCTGCAAGAATCACTTTGGCCCGGGGCAAAGCACGAACAGCGCCTTCGTCACCCCAGTCAAGCAAGGCAGCGTGTACAGAGCCGTTGAGCCCGTTTAGTTCGATGTTCTGCTTCATGAGCTCGAACATGGCCATTTGGTCGGTGATGTAGATTGGTGAATCGACGGCACATCCTTTGGCGACAGCGAGGCCTACAAGGCCACTTCCGCTACCTAATTCGATTCTAGCCACGGTCATTCATATGTTAGTTTCCGTCCGGGAGGTTTGGTTAATATTCAATACTTTTTTTTCTCTTGCAGTTATCTTTATCAAATTTTCAATCAAATCAAAGGGGATGGGTGGACGTGATTAGTACATTGTCTTGCCCTGGAGGCCGGCGGCATGGTTCTCAATCATGTATTTCGATAATACGACGCCTGCAGGCCATATTTGGCCGCCGCAGCCGTTTCTTAGGTCTTCTCTTAGCTGTAATGGTGGGTTGAGTATGCCGTCAAGAGAGACGGTGCTGGTGCCTGCACATTGAATCTCTCTGGGTGGGACGAGAGAGTCCAAAACTGGCGCAGATGCCTGCTCGGCGATGTCACCCATGGAAAGCTGAAGAATTTAACAACTGCTTCAGTGAGTTTGGTGGTTATTATCGAGGGTGATATTGGTTATTTGGTTGTCGTAGTTGATAATTTGGAGGTTTTTTTTCTCATGATTTTTTTTTTGGTCGAAAATCGCCTCTCTGTGCGGAAACTTAAAGCCCCCATGTAAGCCAACAGCACGGCCAAACGGTTTAAGGATATGGGATATTAGAAGCTCTCGAGGATCTTGTGGGATGCTGGATGCTGGCTTTAATGTTTGATAGTTTCTTGCTGTCGTGTTTGGTGGGATGTCTTGCCTTAATCATAGCCAAGGGATGATATTGATAATACGACTATCAATATCGATTTTGTGGAAAAATAAGGTATCATGGACAAACGTAGAGAGAAGGTAGATAGAAGAAATATGTTCATACATGGCTATTCTATACATGTGGAATTGATGTAGGGAGGTGCCTGTGCAGGTAGCAGATGTTTCCCCAACTATAAGCCAATATATCCAATAGACGAGTTAAGACAAGAGAAAGCAATGTCAAGAATGTAAATTGAGTACTCTACAGACGGAAATGAAAGGGGAGAGAGCGAGAGAGAACAATGAACTGCCCATTCTATTGACCTAGCTGTGTGGTTCTAGATAAAAGTGCGGCATGGGTATCTATGCGGTTAGATTAGAATAGGAAGAACTGAGTGATGCAACAGCTGAGAATATCAACTTACTTTGAAGGATAGGCCTGCTCCGAAGGGAGGCTATATGTGTTTCCAGCGTTCAAGTGAGCAGGTAGAGGTGGCATCCCACTTGGTCCAAGGACCTCAGCTCCCGAGCTGGCCTTCTCCTCGAAATGCGCAGCCAGTCCACGCTCCTCAGCCGTCTGCTGCGTCTGCACCAGCTGCTTCGAGCCCGCCTCACCTGCAAGAAGACTGTCCTTGGGCTCGGCCTTGCTGCCGTATGTCAAGAGTCCGACGACATCCGCCTGCTTCACCACGCTGGCCTGTGGGTAGGCTCTTCGCACATCTCGCTTCCAGTATGGGTTGTCAGCGAGGTCGGCTGCCGGGATAGTGACGGGGTCGTCGTATGTCTGTGGTTCAAGGGCTCCTGGGGCCGGGTTGCGGAATTGGGCGTTCAATGGGACACCGGACGAACGAGTAGGGTCGACGGCCAGGGCCCGTCGGATTCTCTCCCATATGCCGTAGGATTGTACAGTGTATTTCTAAACCGTGTTAGCCTCGTCGTAGAATGAGGGGAAACGAGGTCTTTGATGGGCGCAGATGGGGATATAAGTGTGTGCTGGTGCTGGTGCTGGTGCTGGAGATGTACGGACCTGGTTGACGGGGACGACGTGCGAGGCGGCCGACGCCTTCTGGAGGATCTTGGACGCTCTCATCTCCTGTAACCACTCAATTAGGGCTGTGCACTACGACAGACTGCGTGGGACTCACCGGAATCAGAGCAAAGACGCTGGCTTGGTCGCTCTTCCTGTGGTTCTTTTCGTCTGCTTCTTCTTCTTGACGTTGGTCGAGAAGCCGAAGCCAGCGAGCAAAACGAGAGTTCGAAGCGCAAAAAAAACGCCAAGCTCGAGCCGGCTTCGAACGTCAAAAAAACAACAACTCAAGACGAGAGAGAGAGAGAGAGAGAGAGAGCAGCGANCCAAGACGGAGAAGCGGATTTGATATGCAGCGAAAGATGGGGTGATTACTGGAGCACAGCGCTACAAGATGGACGGCCGGGGCTGGGGGGGCCGGCTGGGAGTCTGCTGGTGGTTCTACGATGGCTGGCTGTCGCTGGCGGTCTATACTTGGGTGGGCGCTTCTTCGACGGGCTGGAGAGAGCGCCCTTGGGCGAGCGCCAGCTGGGCTCAGGACAGCGGCAGCAGAGATAGAATTAACGCGATAGATAGGCGATAGACAGACGCATTATAGGAGGCGAGCTCGCGCCTGGACGCGGTAAAGGAAGCAGACGAAGAAGAAACGAGCTAGCGACCTTGTCTTCTTCTGCTGCCAGTCGTGCGCGCTTCTTCTCTTCTTCTTTCTCCGGCTTCGCTACACATTCCACCAAATTCTCCCTTCATCCGCTGCAAAGCAACCAGATAGACAGACCTACGATGGCTCCTGAGCTGAGAAAACGCAAGGCGCCGGCTCCTGCTCCAGTGGCAGAGCCAAAGGCGAAGAGAGGAACCAAGGCCGGCGCCAAAGCTGAGCCCAAGAAGGCCGCGCCCAAGGAGAAGAAGGCCGCCGCCGCCGCCGCCGCCGCTGCTGCTGCTCCTGCTGAGTCTGAGAAGGCCGACAAGAAGGAAGAGAAGAAGGAAGAGGAAACCGAGGAGAAGAAGGAGGAGGAGGAGGAAAAGAAAGAGGACAAAGGTGAAGAAGCTGAGGAGAAAGCTGCCAGCCGTGTCCCTGAAGAAGGCGACGTCCTCGACCTCAGCCAGTTCGAGGTTGAGATCGAGCTCAATGACGGCACAAAGACATCCTTCAGAAAGCTGCTGGAGGAGAGCAAAGAGGGCGTCGTCGTGTTTACCTACCCCAAGGCCTCGACTCCTGGCTGTAAGTCGGCTCTCCTTCTCAATTGCCATAAAAAGAGAGAGACGGGTCTCCATCTAACAGTGTGTTTGTTTATAATAATATATAGGCACCAGACAGGCATGCGCCTTTAGAGACGACTACGCCAACCTGACCTCGACTGGACTCTCGATCTTCGGACTCTCTGGCGACTCTCCCAAGGCCAACACGACGTTCCAGACCAAGCAGAAGCTGCCTTACCCGCTTCTGTGTGATCCATTCTTCAAGCTCATCGGCGCTTTTGGCCTGAAGAAGACCCCCAAAGGCACCGTCCGCGGCGTGTTTGCCGTCAACAAGGAAGGAAAAGTGCTTCTGCGCACCCCGGGAGACCAGAGAAGACGCTCAACCTGGTCCAGGACTTGGTCAAGGGGAAGTAAGCGGGCAGATGTTCTTCAATGTGTGCAAATGATGGATGGACTGGTGTTTGTTTTATCTGTGGTCTTCTTTTCTGAGGCGAGATCATGCGGGTTCGCTCGGTGATATAAGGATCTCTCTCGCTCTCTTCCTGTTCTCTGTGTGTGTTGTTCTTCTCTTTATCTTACAATGGATGCTCCGTACTCTCTCGGTTTATCTTTCTCCATCGTCTTTCTGTCGTCTCTCCAATGCTCTTCCGCCGCTCTTCTTCCCGACGGACATTTATTCTTTATTCACTCTTGATTTCCACTGAATCAACGAGAAGAGAGGCCGGCGCGGCTTAGTCATCAGCTTAGCGGGGAGGCGGAGCCTTGGTTGGCGCTGAGGTGACGCTGCAGAAGAAGATCAAGTTAGCAAAAAGGAAAAGGAAAAGGAAAAGGAAGAAGAAGAAGAAGAAGAAGAAGAAGAAGAATCCTGGAGCCTTGAGCAGTCGTGTATCTCTGTGGCTGGTGCAAAAAGGGCGCTCGCTTCCGCGCATCTATATAAACCAGTGGTCGACCGCGATCCTCCCAGCGCAAACCTCCAGGCTGCTCCGTTTTAGTTACCCCTCCGACTAGTTAACTAGTTATCCCTTAACAATATAACGACAATCACCAACAGCTACTTAATATCCGGCTGCCAAAGAGACACAGGACAGGAAGACGGCGCCATGAATGTGATAAAGCTCCAAAGGTCAGCAGAGCGCAGATCAAGCCGTTGTGGCCGGAGATATAACTGACTGGGAGTTACAATAGGAAATACCCGCAGTTCCAGCAGAACGAGATCTTTACCCTCCAAGATGCCTTCCACAAGCTAGACGTAGACGACAAGGGCTACCTCGACGAAGCTGAGACAATCAAAGCGACCCAGGCCTCAGAGAGACTGCCGTACGATGTCGTCCGGCAGACATTGAAGGAGGTCGAGCTGGATAGCTCTCGCCGGGTTGAGTTCGAGGATTACGTTGACGTCAGTGACCATTGAACTCCTGCATCCCGACTGAATATTTACGGGGAAATATGTTCGAATAATACAGTGGATGCTGACAGTGTATAGTTGATAGCAAAACTGCGAAGCGGTGGCCAACCCGCCAGTGCCGCACCCCCCGTTCCCTCCAAACCCTCGTCGCATGTCTCCGGCGGCCATGGACATGCCTCCAAGGGAAGCATCAGCGGAAAGATCCACGTTCAGGGCTCGTCTGCGAACGTCACACATACCATCAACGAAGATGAGAGAACCGAGTTCACCAGACACATCAACGCCGTGCTTGCCGGCGACCCGGATATCGGCCACATGCTCCCCTTCCCAACGGACACCTTTGAGATGTTCGATAAGTGCAAGGATGGTTTGGTGCTGGCAAAGCTTATCAACGACAGTGTGCCCGATACTATTGACGAGCGAGTGTTGAACAGACCTGGCACACGAATAAAGCAGCTTAATGCGTTTCATATGACCGAGAACAATAACATCGTTATCAACTCAGCAAAGGGCATTGGATGTTCGGTTGTCAATATTGGAAGCGGAGATATCATTGAGGTCCGAGAACATCTTATTCTCGGTCTTATCTGGCAGGTTATTCGTCGTGGTTTGCTCGGCAAGATTGATATAAAGCTTCACCCCGAGCTGTACAGATTACTGGAAGATGACGAGACATTGGACGAGTTCCTTCGTCTGCCTCCTGAGCAGATCTTGTTGCGCTGGTTCAACTATCACCTGAAGAATGCCAAATGGCACAGAACGTGAGTACTGTCTTGTCCAAGGAAGAGCAATCAATGGGAGCTAACGTATACGCTAGAGTATCAAACTTCTCTACTGATGTTAAAGATGGAGAGAACTATACCATCCTGCTGAACCAGCTGGCCCCTGATATCTGCTCACGGAAGCCCCTCGAGACCCGTGACCTGCTGCAGCGTGCCGAACAGGTCTTAGACAACGCTGATTTGCTAGAATGCCGCAAGTTCCTGACACCATCCTCGCTTGTGGCCGGAAACCCTAAGCTTAACCTTGCCTTCGTTGCCAATCTGTTCAATACTCACCCCGGACTGGAGCCCATTACAGAAGAGGACAAGCTCGAGGTGGAAGACTTTGACGCCGAAGGAGAGCGTGAAGCTCGTGTATTTACTCTCTGGCTGAACTCTCTTGACGTCCAGCCAGCCGTCAATTCGCTCTTCAACGACCTAAGGGATGGAACCATTATCCTCCAGGCTTACGACAAGGTCATCCCGAACAGCGTTAATTGGCGGCACGTTAACAAGCCTCCCGCGTCGGGCGGTGAGCTGATGCGGTTCAAAGCCGTGGAGAACACCAACTACGTAATTGAGATCGGGAAACAAAACCGCTTCTCCCTCGTGGGCATTCAGGGGGCTGACATCACGGATGGCCAACGCACCCTCACTCTCGGCCTAGTCTGGCAGCTGATGAGAAAGGACATTACCAACACATTGTCCTCCCTCGCTGAGCGACTAGGCAAGCGTGAAATCACCGACAATGAAATGATTCGATGGGCCAACGACATGTCTCGCAAGGGCGGAAAGAGCTCAAGCATCCGCAGTTTCAAGGACCAGTCTATCGCCACCGGTATCTTCCTGCTCGATATCCTCAACGGAATGAAGAGCAGCTATGTCGACTATGACCTTGTCACCCCCGGACGAACAGACGAGGAGTGCTATGCTAACGCAAAGCTTGCCATCAGTATTGCCAGAAAGATGGGGGCCACGATATGGTTGGTTCCTGAGGATATCTGCCAGGTCCGCTCCAGACTTGTCACCACATTTATCGGTAAGTTTGTGCCTCTTACAATCCACTTTTTTCTCCTTCCTTCGCTAACCATTCCCGCTAGGATCGCTGATGGCGACATCTGAGAAGATGTGAGGGGAAATCGAAAGAACGGGCGAAGCAAATGAACTACTCCGTACTTGCACACTATGTAGAAAATAGTCAATGTCGAACGCCAGGTGGAGCATGAAAAGGAAGAGTGCGGAATTGAAACCATATCTGGGCGTCACGAGGAAGCTGACTGTTTTTGTTTCCAAACACTGATATCATAACAAAAATACCTATTTCAATCAATTGACAACTGACGCTTGTATCTGTACTTTCTGTAGCCATGGCTGGCGCCTCACTTTCAATGTAGTCCCCCAGCTATAATGAAGGAATAACATGTTAACTTCCAGGTCCTTCCCTCCGGTCATGTATACTAACACTAGCTGCTCTAGTTACTAGCTCGGGAAACCGGCCAACATCCACAAAACCTAACGTGTCAGATGGACTGGAAAGCTTTTCAGGAGTTGCCCCTTTCCGCGGGAGTTTGCTGCCCACTGCTTTCGAATCCAGCTCCTCCGTTTGGCCGGCAGAGCTATCGTGACGCTTCGTCCGGCACGCAACGTCGGGAAGAGCTTATCGATAAGCTTTTTAGTGGCGCTTAGTGGGGCGGCTCTACGGAGAATCGCCGACGACCGCTCGAACCTCCAGCCGGCGGGCTCATCCGGCTCGCTTCTGCTGCTATATTGAAACCCGATATACCCCAGGCAGAGACGCTGAGAAGGCCTTGGGAAGCTCTTATCTACCCCTGACTGCTGAAGAAGACCAAGACGACGAACGATACTGCTTGATTGATCCCTTTTGGATACTCCGTTGCTGCTAGCTATCTGGGCGTGGCCATGTCTCAGGTCAAAGGAAATGGAATCCGCATTGCCATTGACGTTAGTATTTCTCGATATTACTACAGGATGTCCTGTTTACTGAACGTCCCGTACTGATATGTGTATGTATATAGCGTGGCGGCACGTTCACGGACTGCGTAGGCAATCCGGGGACGGGCAGGATGGAAGATGACGTCGTGATCAAGCTTCTGTCCGAGGATCCGTCAAATTACAAGGATGCACCCCTCGAGGGCATCCGTAGGCTTCTATCGAAGTTCCAGGGCGAAGAGATCCCTCGAGGCGTTCCCATCGACACATCCAAGATTGAGAGTATACGGATGGGCACGACTGTTGCTACCAATGCCCTCCTCGAGCGTAAGGGTGAGCGTATGGCCCTTGTCGTCACCCAGGGCTTCCGGGATTGCCTGAAGATAGGAAATCAGTCTCGTCCTAAGATCTTCGACCTTGCCATTCGTCGACCGGACGATCTGTTTGAGGAAGTGGTTGAAATAGAAGAGAGAGTTACCCTGGAAGACTACGCTGAGGACCCAACGAGGCACGCAACCCCCACGGTGGCCCGTACCGAGGAAGCCAAGGATGCTGACATTGTTCGAGGCTTGTCTTCAGAGGCTGTGCGGATCCTGCAGCGTCCATCTGAGAGTAAAGTCAGGGAGCAGCTACAAGCTTTGTATGATAAGGGCTTCAGAAGCATTGCCGTCTGCTTGATGCACGGCTATACTTTCCCAGACCATGAATCTCTGGTTGGAAAAATTGCCAGTGATATCGGCTTCACGCACGTCAGCTTAAGTCACCAGCTTATGCCCATGATTAAGCTCGTTCCCCGAGCTACCTCTGCCTGCGCCGATGCTTACCTCACTCCAACTATCAAACGATACATTTCTGGCTTCCAGTCTGGATTCAAGGGCGTCCTGGGCGCAGGAGGTGTCAAGGACCCATCTCAGCCAAAGAGCGCTCGATGTGAATTCATGCAGTCGGATGGTGGCCTTGTCGATGTCAATGGCTTCACCGGTCTCCGAGCTATCCTTTCCGGCCCTGCCGGTGGTGTCGTCGGATATGCCCTGACTAGTTACGATCCCAAGACCAAGATACCCGTCATCGGTTTTGACATGGGAGGAACAAGTACTGATGTCAGTCGATACGGTGGCCGATACGAGCACGTCTTCGAAACCACCACTGCAGGTGTCACTATTCAGTCACCACAGCTTGACATCAACACTGTCGCTGCCGGAGGTGGTTCTCGCCTCTTCTACCGCAATGGTCTTTTTGTTGTTGGCCCTGAGTCTGCCGGAGCTCACCCAGGCCCTGCTTGCTACAGAAAGGGAGGCCCCTTGACTGTCACTGATGCCAACCTCTTCTTGGGCAGACTTCTGCCCGAGTTCTTCCCCAAAATCTTCGGAAAAAATGAGGATGAAGGACTGGATGAGAAGGCCAGCGCTAAGCTCTTCGAAGAACTAGCTGACAAGGTTAACGCTGAGATGGCTGAGAGTGGAAAGAGAGGCAAGATGACTGCTGATGAAGTCGCTTATGGATTCATCAAGGTTGCCAACGAGGCTATGACTCGACCAATTCGCTCCCTTACTGAAGCCAAGGGCCACGATACCTCGAAACATCGTCTGGCTACCTTCGGTGGTGCCGGTGGCCAGCACGCAGTTGCAATTGCTGAAAACCTGGGTATCAAGCAGATCTTGGTCCACCGTTACTCCTCCGTCTTGTCTGCCTACGGAATGGCTCTTGCCGATGTAGTTGACGAAAGCCAGGTTCCAGAGTCCATGTCCTGGTCCGAGAGCTCGGAGGTCAAGGCCAGCATTGAGAAGAGAATGCAGGAATTGAGAAAGGGGGCAGTCGCGAGACTCAATGACCAGGGTTTCAAGGAAGAAGCTATTGTTTTCGAGGAATATCTCAACATGAGATACCGCGGAACCGAGTCTGCTCTTATGATCATTAAACCGCAAGATGGCGGAGCGTTTGGCAAGTCCTTCATTGAGCAGCACGAAAAGGAGTTCGGTTTCACCCTTCCTGACCGTGACATCATCATTGACGACATTCGTCTCCGAGCTATCGGAAAGAGTTTTGATAGCTTCCCTAAGACCGTCGACGAGCAACTTCGTGACGCAAAGCCAGTTCCAGTATCCAAGAGCAAGGCACATGCCACTCAGAAGGTATACTTCGAAGGCGGCCGTGTTGATACTCCTATCTACAAGATTGGATCTCTGGAAACAAATGACCGTATCGACGGACCTGCTATTCTCGGAGATGGAACCCAGACTATTCTGGTCACCCCAACCTCCTCTGCTCTCATCATTGATACCCATGTGGTTATCGACGTTGACGTTAACAAGAAGGAAAATGCAAAGGCATCGGCTGATGTGGTCGATCCAATTCTGCTGAGTATCTTTGGCCATCGGTTCATGGCAATTGCTGAGCAGATGGGTCGTGCGCTGCAGAAGACTAGTGTCAGCACAAACGTCAAGGAGAGATTGGATTACTCCTGTGCTCTGTTCGACAGTGATGGCGGCCTTGTTGCCAATGCTCCTCATTTACCCGTCCATCTGGGCAGCATGTCCACCTGTGTTCGTACTCAAGCTGGAATGTGGAAGGGAAAACTCAAGCCAGGCGACGTGATTGTGACCAACCACCCTGAGTTTGGAGGCACCCATCTGCCTGATATCACTGTGATTACCCCAGCCTTCTCTGGCAACGAGATCATGTTCTATGTTGCGTCCAGAGCTCATCATGGTATGTAACGACCCTTACAACTATCATTACTTCGCTGAGTACTAACAACTATTGTAGCGGATATTGGAGGAATCCTACCAGGATCCATGCCTCCACACTCGAAAGAACTGTACCAGGAGGGTGCTGCTATAAAATCAGAGAAGCTTGTTTCTGAAGGGAAGTTCAACGAGGAGCGTATGGTAGAGTTGCTCTACCGTGAACCTGCCAAGTACCCTGGCTGCAGTGGAACTAGATGCCTTGCAGACAACCTCAACGATCTGAAGGCACAGGTCGCCGCAAACCAGAAGGGTATCAGCCTCATCTCTACCCTCATTGAGGAGTATGGTGGATCTACCGTCCAGCTCTATATGAGGAGTATCCAGAAGAACGCAGAACTCAGCGTACGCAACTTACTGAAGCAAGTTAGTGAGAGATTCAAGGGTGCGGACCTCACTGCAATTGAGCACATGGATGACGGCAGCCCCATCCACCTCAAGATCTCCATAGATGCTGAGAAGGGAGAGGCTATCTTTGACTTCGAAGGCACCGGCCCAGAGGTTTATGGTGAGTTATATGCGGGTTATCAAGGGTCAAATATGCAATCGCGTTGCTAACGATGATATAGCCAATACCAATGCCCCCGAAGCCGTCACTTACTCCGCTATCATTTACTGCCTGAGATGTCTCATTTCGGAGGAAATCCCACTCAACCAAGGCTGCCTGAAGCCTATTAACGTTAAAATCCCCAAGGGCTCATTCCTCTCCCCATCTAGCAAAGCTGCAGTTGTGGGTGGAAACGTCATGACAGTAAGTTTTTACTTTCATAGGTACTGAGAGCCACGCATATCAGACCATGCTAACCGCATTACAGAGTCAACGTGTCACCGATGTCATCCTGAAGTGTTTCCAGGCCTGTGCCGCCTCCCAGGGTGATACTAACAACCTGACCTTCGGATTCGGAGGCAATCTTTCAGGCGAGGAGGAAACCAAGGGCTTCGGATACTATGAGACCATTGCAGGTGGTAGCGGAGCCGGTCCTGACTGGGAGGGAACCTCTGGAGTCCACACCCACATGACAAACACCCGCATCACTGACGCGGAAGTGTTTGAGAGAAGATACCCCGTTCTCCTCAGAGAATTCAGCCTGCGCGCCGGATCCGGAGGAGCGGGCCAGAACCGCGGTGGTGATGGTGTCATCAGAGATATCGAATTCCGCATTCCTGTCCAGGTATCCATTCTTTCCGAACGTCGTGTCTACCACCCCTATGGTATGCACGGTGGAGAGGATGCTGCCTGCGGCCAGAACATCTGGGTCCGTAAGATGCCTCAGCCTGAGGGATCTAAGGAGCCTCCAATCATCAAATATGTGAGCTTGGGAGCCAAAAACACTGCAAATATGGAACCAGGTGACCGCATCATTATCAAGACTCCTGGCGGAGGTGGATATGGAAAGCCCGGAAATGAAAGCGTTGTTCGAAAGGAAGCTGATCCTCAGCTTGCCTGGAAAGGAGGCTCTTTGGCATCGCGCGTTGGAACCCAGGAAACTAACTAGCATGTAAGTTGGGACATGAGGAACAAACAAGGTAGGCTAGGTAACTAGACAGCTAGCTTATTTGCCAAAAGAAAAAAAAAAAAAAAAAAAAGAGCTCACCCAGCGACGTAGTTTTTGATTATATATGAATATCAGATTATTCCACATTAGACAATAGGTCTCAACTGGAATCAGACTTTCAATAGAAATTACCAATTTTTTTTTTAAATCAAACTGGATATCTCCAAATTCCCATGCCATACACCAGGCGCCAGCCGGGTTACACGTAATTTCATACACCAGGTTCCAACCAGGGCAATTTGTACTTGTTTTAAATTATTTATTCGTCGTCATCCTCGTCGCTCGTAGCCTCGAAGTTTTTCGTGGGCGATGGTTTCTTAGCTTTGGAATTGGATGATTTCGACTTTTCCTCATCCACATCGGACATTTCTTCGTCCTCTTCACCAACTGTGGCAGCGGACTCAGAGAAATCCGGACGAGTAACCTTGCCCCCTTTCTGTTCGATAACGGCTGAGATTTCAGGAAGTAATGTAACGAGGCTGTTGAACTGTTCTAGTGTCATAGATATCCCCTGGTAGGAAGCGCGAAGGGTTAGCATGGTTTCCTTGCAACGAGGGTGGCTCAATGGATATTAATACCTTCTTTCCAGGCAGTTCTTGACCATCTTTCTCATAATACTCGCGCACATTCACTAGGACGCGTCCCTTGAATGTAGATATAGTGACACGCCTCTGCCGCGAGATCTCCCAGTATGGATCTCCGTTGGAATCCGTCTTGGGAGCTTTATCTAAAGTCGCGGATATCTGAGCATTTGGACCGGCTTTGCCTGCATCACCGGCTGTTTTGGCCCTCTTGGAACGGTCTTCCGAAACAGCTGGTTCGACGTCTTCGGATGAAGCTCGTTTCCCGCGCTTGAGACCCATGGTTTAAGAGCGCGTTTTAAGATGTTTCAAAACGATAAGAATAGTGAAAAAAAAATATTGAGGGTACAAATCTCAACGTCTTCTATTTAAGCAAAAATGGGCTTAATATCCCAAGAAGCTGGAGTCAGCAGGGAGCAAATCGCAGCGCCCTCGGAAGTGTTTGATATATACATCAAGAGAAACACCAATAAAAGGGGAAACGACGTCAAAAGCAGAGGGGATTATGTAAACATTGCCAAGCCATGAACACCTCGATATAATGCGAGTTACATAATCTAACCGGGGGGAACACCAAATATTTCGTTATGGCATAAAAATCAGATATAAAAAGGGGGAAGCAACGGGATTAGGGTGGTATTAAAAAAAAAAAAAAAAAAAAAAAAGGAAAAACCAAGAAGATCAAGCCATGACATATTCGCTGCCTCGTTTGATGAACTTATCGATCATGAGGCCGATATCATTCAGGGCGAACCGGCACGCATAGAATCCGAAGAATTCAGACGCATGCCGAGTGCTGAGCTCGAGACCAACTAGAGTCTGGGATGAATGTCTTAGGCCTGGATCTTCAACTTGGCGCGCTATTTGATCTATTTGGATAAAAGTTAGTACTTAAGCGGCTTATTTATTGAAGGGAAAGCACGTAGATGAGTGGCGGTGGAAGGTTAACATACCTATAACTTGCGCTGCGTCGAAAAGCCTGGCTAGAGCGCTCATATAGTTTGCATTTGGCCCAGTACAGTTGAGTCCGATGACGCCTCGTCGTGGAGTAGCTGTAGCGACGGTATCCGTCATCGGCAGCGATGTCATGGTCAAGTTTTCCCTTCCGTTATCTCTCGATATGCTGCTTGAGCTTGTGTTCGATATACCAGAGCTCTTTGATCGGAGTTTTCGCCACGAGGAAAGATAGGATTTGCTTCCACTGCTGGAAGGTTTGGAGGATGAGTCTACCGCCGGAGAGGTATCATCTGACGATAGCTTGAAAAGCGCCATGGCACCTTGCACGCCGACTTCATTCCCGAGTTTCCTAGACCATACGGCCTGCACCTGATCCAGGATGTTTTCGAATGCCTGCATTTCCTCTAGGACGGCATCAGCATCGTTGGTGTCGACCTTTGCTAGTTTGAGTAGTGCTGCGGTGAGCAGATCACAGTTTGAGATTTTCTCCTCTAGCCCCTTGATTCGCACGTTTTTCACTTTCCATATGTCTCTGGGTATAAATAGTTTAGTGGTCAGATACCCACCACGAGGATGGGTGATCGTTTCGTATAGGCATCTCATTAGCCAGAATGGACGGAGGAGGAAGGATTGGGGGCAAGGCTCGAGAGGGATGGGCGCATCGGGGGCGTTGGGGTTAGGCGATCCCGGCGTAAGCGGAGAATGGATGTTATTGTCGAATAGGTGCCTAGACGGGCCGGCCGAACTGAGCGGTGGCACAGCAGGCAAAGAAAAGGTCTTGCCTAACTCTGGGATGAAGGAAGTGGTGAAGGGGCTGCTAGGGGGCTGCGAGGATTTACTCAGAGCAGGAGCCGAGTATGTAGGTTCTCTAGATATCCCAGGCGCAGAGTGTAGCCTGCTCAAAGTTAACGGTGGAGACGTCAATAATGTATCAAAATCGACCGATTCATGTGTATTAAGGGTAGGAAAGGCTGAGATCGCAGGAGAATCCGGTCCGGGGGACTCTGGAGAGCCAATTGCTGTGTGTGGGCGTTGCTGTATTGATTCAAGATTGAAATCGCTCGACGATTTTCCATGGCTTGTCTTCGAAGGTAGCGGGGTGATGGGATGTGCTAGGAGCATTGAGGGAGGTAGTGGCACTTGACGGGCCCCGTCTGCGCTTGAGGGGGCATGCGCTGAGCCGGTCTCTATTATTAGCTCCTTTGGACGGCCCGACAGCCTTCGCGACCGGACTGTCGACGCCATCATAATATCTGCAGTGTCTGGAGAGCTTGTCGATGCCTTAGCCGAGGGTGAAGGCGGTGTTGGTGTAGCGCGAGTGGGAGCTGGTGGTGGTGGTAGTTGATGCTGCTGGTGCTGGTGCTGTTGGACCGGTGGATGAGGCGGTGGAGGCGGTGGAGGCGGAGGCGCACCCACGGGCGGAGGGAGCTTTTGAAACGGCTGGGAATAAGAAAGAACATTTTTGGCCATTCCACCGGGAGGGATCGAGAAATCATCTTCTTCCGTGAGGGTGGAAAGCAAGGTGCCCGTGTTGGTCCGGCTTGATGCAACGGAGCTACCCCAGGTTCTACTCGAGTAGCCGCTGGAGCCTGATTGCCGTGGAAGCGCAGACTTGGACGAGAGATCGAACTCGAAATCGTCCATCATCTCCTCCAGGATCCGCTCTTCTTCCTCGGCCTCGTGGTCTGAGTAACCTTTCCGGTCGAGGTCAGAACCAGAACCCACGTCTATGTCGTCAGGCGATATTTCGGGTCTTCTCCGGTCTCGCTCCCTGGCGGATACGCTGGCGGCTTCAGCCTCTAGCTCAGCCTCTCGTACCTTTTGTTTGGCCAATTCGATATTCCGGCGGACGTGCGACATGATATCGTCATCAGGTTCATCTTCCCGAGGGACGACTTCGAGTCCATCATCGTAAGCGGCCTCGACAGCCTCGTCCAGGGCAGCATCGAACTCGGCCTCGGTACCTCTGCTGTAGTGGGCGTCCTGCTTCCGTCGTAGATAGAGAGAAGAGTTTGCCGAGCGTATAGACGAGGTTGATGAAGCACCGGACTCATCTATGGTGTCTAGCCAGGAAGTCGACTCGGTGCCTCTCTCCTGGAGATTCTGCAGATCCCCATTCGCAACGTTTGAGAGACCGAGACCGTCTGGTCTGGAATAGCTGCCCGAGGGATGATGTTCGTTGTTCATGTTCGTACTACTTGTATTGTCCGTGTCGTGGGCGCTACCGTCTCCAGACGGATGCAGGGACTGTTGCCGGGGCGGAATGTAGCGTTCATTCTGCGATTCAGTGGCGGGAGATTTGGCGAGTATCTGGGTGGCAGTGGCGGTGCCAATGAAATAGATATCCTGATCGTCTGCATCGCCGTCTGTGATATGGGTTGAGAGGATGCTCTGGGATAGCGATTCACCGCTCGGCGGTCTCTCCGGCAGGGCCTTTCCGCCAGCCTGCAGCGCCAGACCCAGGCGCCGGAGTTCGTTTATTCTCGTAGTGTACGTATTCCTCTGCGTGGATGAGTTAGAAAGTAGACTCTCGATAAGCCGTATAAACGTATAAAAGCATATAGATGTGGAGTGGAAGAGAGGAACTCACGATATCGTCTAGTTTGTGTTTCTCCTCGTCGGCACCAGCCCGCTGCATGACCTGCGCGAGGAGACCGCAGGCGTCGGTGTAAGCATCGATGGCGCCCTCGTAGTTGGTGGCATTGTCGAGCAGGACGGCGGTATTGGCCTTCTGCAGCGCTCTGGACAACATTGTCTTCTGCGTGGCTGCCCGGATGCTGCTGCTGGTGCCGTCACGAGCGGCGGGCGGTGGTGGTCGAAGGTCGTAAGTCCCATCCATCGATCCTCTACTAGGGCTGTAGCAACGTCGCTGCTGACCGACAAGCCATTCATTGGGGGTCTAGAGCAGGCACTATGGACATGGTCGACCTGCGTGCGAAACGGGGGAGCGGCAAGCTGGCTAACCGCCGTTGGACAGGGCTGCGTTTCGACTGCTGCTGCTGCTGGCTGCTGGCTGCTGGGCGGATATGCGAGTCGTCGAAGTCGTCGAAGCCGTCGAAGCCGTTCAACAGGACGTAGAAGAAGTCGTAGAAGTCGTAGAAGTCGTAGAAGGCGAGCAAGCGTCGAGAAGAGCGACCAGGAGGGACCGCAAGGGGGCCAAGGGGGGGCGTCAGGGGCTTCTCTCTCGTGTTTTTTTTTTTTTTTTTTTTTTTTTTCTTTTCACTCTTCTTAAACTTCTTTTGCTTTCTTCGCGCTTGCGGCGTGGAGACCGCCGTGAAGAGGCTCGACGACTGGCCTTCTCCGCCGGGCTTGGTCGTTTCTCTGCTGGATGGCGCCGATGGCGATGGCGATGGCGATGGTGACGCTGGCTGTGGATGTTGTTGGATGGAGGTTGGAGGTTGGACGGAGGTTCGCTGGAGGTCGTTGGAGGTCGAGGTCGAGGGTCGAAGGCGGTCGCTGCTTGCGGGTGGCAGAAACGGCCATCTGTCTACTTAAGTCTCGCGCGGGCTCTTCCTTGTCTTGCCTGTCTTGCCTGTCTTGCCTGTCTTGCCTGTCTTGCCTGTCTTGCCTGTCTGGCCTACGCTGGTGCTGGTGCTCGCCGGAGAAAAAAACTCGAACACGGCCGGCAGCATCATTAATCTATATGCATCAGAGTCGCCCCCGGGATGGATGGGTTCCTCGCGTGCTGTGCAGATACAATCCGGATGGGCAGAGTGTTACTCCGTAACTTGGGTAGAGTGGACTGCCCCCTTTTTTACGCTGTATACTGAGAGAGAGAGAGAGCAGCATGGAAGCCAGGGCGTAGTGTAGCTTAGTCGGCTTTGCAATGCGACCTCCTCTCGAACTCAGAGACAGACATCCTCGCTGCCGGGCTTGTCTTTAAGGTCGACTCGCCGGCGTATCCCGGCCCCTTACAGCGAGATCCATGCATATAATCGAGTGCTCGCTGGGCTTCCTCCGTCAACGTCTTTTTGCTTCTTTTTGCGCTGGAAGTAGGTCACGTGATGGCGATATTTTACGAAGCGAAGACGAAGAAGAAAGCAGAAAGAAAGAATAGCAGTTAGAAGACGGTTAAAAGAGAAGAATAGAGGAGAAGAGCCGAAGATAAGAGGATAGGAAGACGAATTGAAGCAGAGAAGCAGAAGAGGGAAGATGGAAGTGTCGAGGAGCCGCTGCTGGGCGCAGGTTGGCCAGGTAAGAGAGAAGCTGCTGCTGGTAACAGCGCGAGAGACAGAGAGACTGACAGCTTGCAGGCAGCGAAGAAGCAGCTCGCAGGGAGACAACAGTGCCGGTATGCAAAGAAGAGCCTACTAGGAGTGACAAGTCGCGGTCTCTCCAGCAGTTCCAGGCCGATACAGCCGATCAGAAGCAGCCGTGGTTATGGCGACGGGCTTATACGCAAGATAACCGCGGGTGATAGAATAAGGACGGCGATTTCACCCTCATATACGACCAAGCGAGGTATATCGGACACCGATAGTACCTATATGTCGTATGGCATCGCAGACAGATTGTTCACCAATTGCTCGACACAGGCAGATTACTCGATATCAAAGAAGCTGCGAAAGGCCGACCAGGTCCCCAAGGCAGAGTCGGGCGAAGAGATAGGCGAAGGCAGCGGATGGTGGTATGAAGGTGAGGGCAATCTATCTGCCTTATACGGATGCCTACAGATGCCTACATATGCTAATGGGTGGTGAATAAAATGGTAGAACTCGGTCTTCTTCCTACCTTCTCGACGTGGGCCCAGGTCACCTTTCTACACATGTATCTCCTCACAGTTCGACTGCGCGGCCTACCCACGCCCGAAGCCTTCCAGGTCTACAACAGATACTTGTTCGAACACTTCTCGCAGGCAGCCGAGCGCCGCATGGTCGAGGTGCATGCACTCACGTCCCGCACCGTGCGGGTCTCCTACCTGAAGGATCTATTCGTGCAGTGGAGAGGCGCCATAGCTGCCTACGACGAAGGCATAGTCAAGGGAGACGCCCAGCTGGCCGCTGCTATCTGGAGGAACCTGTTCAAGGGGCTAGCCACCGACCACAAGGGCGAAGAGCTCGACTGGGCCAAGATCGCAAAGGTCGTCTTGTACATGCGCCGGTCGCTGGACAACCTGGCCGAATTCGAGACCCAGGAAGTCATATTTGCGTTCATGGAAGGGGCAGGGCCAGAGATGTTCTTCAACCCTGTCGAGCTCACTGTCTTTGCGAGGAAGGCTAAGAGCGCTGAAGAGTCAAGTAGTAGCAGCCAGAAAAGTCCTCTGGGGTCCCCGAGAACGTAGCCACGCAAAAGAGCCAGCCTTGTCTTCTGTAATATACATGTACAACAGCATCAGACACGAGCATCTTTCTTCGCTTTCCTTATAGCTTCCATCTCATCTTCGTCGTCGTCTTGTCTCTCTGGCTTTTTCGTTTCTTCTAGATCGCCGTTAAACCTCCTGCTTAGCTCAGCCCGTCTAGCCAGGAACAACTTCGCATCGCCCGACCAACGAGCAAGCACGACAACAAAACAACCGCCGCAGCTGCTTGCTACTCCTCACTGCGCTGCTTTACATATATATATATATATATATATATTTATGCAATATATATATATATATATATATAGCAGGGGAGAGAGAGGCCCTCGTGTCCATTCGTATACTTACTTCGCCTGCTAGACCTTCACTACAGCCATGGCGGACTCAATTCCCCAGGTACAGATCGAGCTCCCAGGAGACGTCGAGATGGAGGAATCAGCAGCCCCGGCAGCAGAAGAAGACCCTTCAGCAGAAATGACCAAGGAGGAAGAGAAGGATAAAGAGTCAGGGGACCAGGAAACACAGCCGCCAGCCGAACCCGAAGTCCACAGCCAGCAGGCGGTTTTCCTCAAGTATGCACAGCTCCGCTCCACAGCATATAGCATTTAGCTGGCCAGCACAATGGAATACCGGCTAATATCAGGCTAGCTATCTTACATCGCCCATAGTGCAATTGGTGCTGGGTAAAGACGGAGAGCAAACAATACTCACAGCGCACCAGGCTGTCCTCGAATCGAGTCCTTTCTTCGCAGAGAAACTCGCCCAGTGCGAGCTGACAGGCGAGGTCAGTGTACCCTCTCCTCGCCAACAGACCTTTCTTTCCATTTGAAAACCAGTTGCTGCGACGTGAACGCCATGCTAACAGACCTTGTGCAGCGGCGCATCCACCTTGAAGACGAATTGACAGACACAGTAGCTTGTTTCCTCCAATTTCAATATACAGGAGAGTACTTCCCCCGTCTCCTCCCGTCGGGAAAAGACCTTGAACAAGACCCAGCGATCCCCAAGGTCGATGCAAGCGGCGAGCAGCTCCTCAAACACGCTCGAATCTACAGCTTGGCCGAAAAGCTCGGAAACGAAAAACTCAAGCTGCTTGCTCAGAACAAGATTGGTAGCATCGAGAGTAGTGCTACGGGCGAGATCGAGTATGCGAGATACGTGTATAGCCATACCACGCCAGAGGACACTGCTATCAGAGGACCGGTTGCTCGCTTCTGGGCTAAGATGAGTGATGTGCTGCGTCATGATGCCGAGGAGCAGTTCAAGGCATTGTGTCTTGAGCACCCCCAGTTCAGTTTCGATTTGCTTAATCGCGTGTTGGACATGAAGGAGAAGAGGGCCAGGGAGCGTGATAACACCAGTAGCCCGGCATTCAAGGGCCCGGCGAGAAAAAGGTCTAGAGCTTTCTAGGCTGGTTGTACGAGTAGTTGCTTTTCTTATGGTTATTATTCGCGGTGGGCAAAGAGGCCTTTATTCCTACTATGTAATATCAATAAACAAGGCTGTGATCGGATTTTTTTTTTTTTTTTTTTTTTTTTTTTTTTTTTTTTTTTTTTTTTTTTTTTTTTGGTTTCAGCAAATCAACTGGGTAGATCATAAAATATGTACATTCTCCTGCGTGTTCGACCACTCGGTGCCTTGAATAAACGTGATTATTTAGCACCCTCCTGGACAATGCGTTCGACTTCCTCGGGCTCCTTTGGCACCGTGGTCAGGTTCTCGAAGCCATTGGCGCGAACGACAACGTTGTCCTCGATACGCACACCTCCAACAGCCCAGTACTTGTCTAGAACTTCGGTGTTGATGTACTTGCTGGTTTCGGGGTTAGTAAGGAATGGCTCAATGATGTAACGGCAGAAGTAGACCTAGAGCAAGGGTTAGTAAATGTATGTGAAACATTCGGCGGAGCAACTACTCGATTCAACACTTACACCGGGCTCAATGGTAATGACGGATCCCTCTGGAACAGTGCCTCGCAGACGCAAATACTTGAACATGCGGTTCGGGTCAGCCGGGTTAGGGTTTCCTCCAACATCGTGAGTGTCCATGCCGAGATGGTGGCCTAGACCGTGAGGGAAAAAGGCGGTGCTGATTCCCTTCTCGAAAATCTCATCCTCAGAGCCAGTGAGAATGCCAATCTTGAGCAGTCCCTTGATGGCAACCCGGTGGACCGCAGCATGCATGTCGTCGAACAAAACATTAGGTTTGATCATGCTAAATGCGACTTTCTGCATCTCCAAGGCGATATCATATATCTGGCGGCCCTCCATGGTGAATTTGCCGGACAAGGGGAAAGCACGGGTGATGTCTGCGCAGTACGCCTTGTACTGGCATCCAGCATCGATAAGTACGAGCTGGTCCTTAATCCCGGTAGCCGGGTTAGTTAGGTCACCGTTGTTCTTGGTGTAGTGGAGAGTGGCAGCATTGGGACCACATGCAAGAATTGGATGGTAAGACTGGTCGGAGCAACCATTAGACATGCAGACGTAGTTGAGAGTAGCATAGAGCTCTCTCTCGTTCTTCGACTTGGTTGCGGCTTTCATCACTTCAATGTGAGCTTGGCTGGAGACCTCATTGGCACGTCGGAGGAGACCAATTTCGTACTCGTCCTTCACCACACGGCAGGACTCGATGGCAAGCTTCAAAGCATCGGTGTCGTTCTGCTTGAAGGAGGAGAAGGAAACCTCTGGACAAACCCTATCTGCAATTGTGAAGACCTTCTCGCCTCCGCACTTCGCGAGATAGTTGTTTATCTCAGTTGTGAGGAGCACGGCATCAACATCGAATTGCTTCAAGGCTTCGGCGGGTTCGAGAGGGAGGCCGGACCACATAACCGAGGCTGGGTCGACTGGTGGAATGAACAATGTAAGCTCATCTTTCTCAATGTTGTATGCAACAGAGCACTCGGCCTCAAGACAGCCGGACAGGTAGAGGAAGTTTCGGCGTTGACTATCACATCCTTCGTTAGCTTATTTCGCCTAGTTGAATGTATTCCCACGGCTCACCGGAAGTGAAACGGCTCGTCGCTGTCATCGATAATATGCTCCTTTTGGCCTTCGACGAAGATGATGCCGGTAGAGCCGTGCCCCGCGGCCTTGAGCTTCTCAGCAACGCGTCTCGCGTGACTCTTGGCTGGGTATTTGTCGACGTTGATATCCATGATGGCTGAATACGGCTGATATAGGATAAGGGAAGACTGAATAATGCGTGGACAAGATGGGCAGAGGACGGCAACGGGTGAAATAGTTTGATGGGTTATTGTCTTGCCTCGTCTTTCCCGTCTTTCTTCAATTTCGGTCGTATTGATGCTGGGAGAAAACGCGGGGCTAAAGATGGCTACTGGCGGGTTCGATTACATAACAGCGGGTGTTTGTTGGATATCAAAGAGAGGGCGAAATGAAGCGTTGGACGGGACGAAGGGCGTGAGACGATGATGAGGCGAGGTTGATGGCAGTCGAGGGGATGCATGGGCGTCAATGTTGAGAACTGCTGTGGTTAACTAGTTATGCGGCGCTGGTTTTCTAGTACGCCTCGCCGTCGTCGTCAAGGACCTCTTCAAAGTCGATGGACCATTCATCGATCTCAGCAAACTTCTTCTTCTGGAGCAGCAACTCCTCGCTCATAACGGGAGCTACTATCTCTCGCTCTGGTGATGTCCCAGTCTCCTCGTCGAGCTGGTTCTCCTTATCCCAGTCTGCATCGCCGCCCGTCGTACTGAGGCGGGAGTAGGTCTTCTTCGGCGTTGAACTCTTCCTTGGTTGAGACGATACCGTAGCAGCTTTACCGCGTCCTCTCTTGGGCTGTGATGTATTCTGAGACTTTTCTCGTAGCTTGAATCGGGCTTGGTTCTGCTGTGATCGCTTTGTGTTCCTCTGCCAGCCTGGGGATGTGTCCTCTTGTTGCCCTCCGGTATAGTTGAGCTCATCCTCTGAACCCGAAGCTGAGAGCACATAGTCCTTACCTCCAGCACGAGAACGTTTACTCCTCTTATTAGGTAGGCCTTTACCTCGTTGACGCCGTCGTGGAAGTAGGGCATCTTGCAAGGAGGTCGTAGACAAATGGGTAGGCTTCGAAGGTGGAGGGCTTGGTTTCTGGTTTGCAGAACTCTCTGGAGTCGAAGCAGGAGGTGTAATGGATCCTAAACTGCTTTCTGGCGGTGCCAGAGTGGTTGTCTGCCGCCTGCGTTGTGGTGGTGTTTCTATGGCGAAATTCATGGGGGTTAGAGAGTCCACAGATCCAACAGATGAACAATCATCGTCCTTGCCATCCTCATCTACAGCCACAGGTATCTCAGACTGAACTTCATCGAGTGCGGGTTCCTGCTCTTGAGGATCGTCAATGTCCTCTGGCTCTTCCGGCGCTTTATCAGCGTGTTGTTCACCCAAAGCTTGCACAAGAGCAGGCGGATCATCCGATATTCTCTTTTCTGAGGCAAGATCATGCCGTATGGGGACTTCAACAAACACCTGTGGTAATTTTGGTGTCTTCTTGGTAACTGTGGGAGTAATATCGGCCTGGTTTAGTGACTTTCTCCTCTTTGCTGGAAGCGGTGTAGACACGTCCTCGGGGTCAAAGCTGCCTAACAGGTCATCAGAGCCCAATTCGGATGATCCAAGGTCCAAGGAGTCATCCCCCACTAGTTGTAATATACTCGGCTGCCTTGGACGTGGACGGAATGCGCTTAATATTGAGCTCTCGAAGGCAGGCGTGTGCCCCTTTGGATTCATATCCCTTCTCGCGCTACCCGGAAATCCTTGCAATCTCAACGACGTCCCCATACTAACGCCACCAGATAAGGGTACATTTTCCTGCTGGCGGTCTCTGACGGGAGTTTGGCTACCAAGTGAGTCTCGTTCCCGCTCTCTCTGCACAAACCCCGAGCTCCCATCTTGTAAGTCATCGCTTCGCCCCTCCACGTCCGAACTATTAGCATCTTTCCTAGAGGTGACTCTAGATTTTGGCGCCGACTTCGTGCTTGTGGTACGCTCTTCGGACTGTCCTCCAGAGATCTTTCGCTTTGGTCTTCCCTTCGTCGCATTTGCTTTGGCCGTTTGTGGTTGATTGCGGGTGGCTCGGGCTCGTTTCGCCGCCGGACGAGGCATTTTTGTAGATTATCGTAGCTTTATAGCTACAGTCAGTCTATCCCTGACTTCTATACAAGCTAAACGGAGGATTTCAGGGTATTCTGTTGCTTATGAGCCGTTAAACGCGATGATTGAGGTTAAATTGTCAAAGTTGACGCGCCGCTTGTTTTGGTTTGGTCCAAAAGAGTTTAGCGCTGGAAGTGCAGATAAGCTCTTTGATATCAGCAAGAATGCATAGAACATAGAATCCATATTTACACCACGGAGAAATGTCAAGTACAGATGCTAAAGGATGATACAAATTCAAGGTAGCAGGGTTATATTTTACCCCGCTTACGTTGTCTGAGGAGGTAGAACTACCCGCTCTAAACTGCTGTCTACAACTGGTAATATCTGTGCGATGTGGTTTGGGTCTCTCATCATCGCGGGGACGTCCTTGCGTGAGCCTCCGATCATCTATACACATGTTCAGTAGGACATTTCTCTCCAGGCATCTATAAGAAGGGTGAATCTTACTTCTTTGACTTTATCATATCCTTCCTCCTTTGCAAGATACTCCCGCATTACCTCACCCGTGTCAAAGTCCACGAACACGCGGGTGTCTCGTAACCGGAAAAGAACATTATCTAATCGCATGAACATTCTAGTAAGCAGAAGAAGGCATGTCGGCATAACACGAATTTTGCATGATAGCATAGTGATTCCGTTATCCGCTAACTCATCCTCATAGAGCATGATCTCGTCGTAGAACAGAATTGGATCTGGTTGCTTAAGTCTCTCTATTGGGAGAGGAGTGGATGTTTGCTCAAATTCATGACCTTTAGGAGTGACTGTTCCCTTATAGTCTGTGGTATATGACCAGTCAAAAGGCTTCACCACCTCCCTTATACCCTCATGCGCTGATTCTCTATTCCAGGTATTAGCGCTAAAATAACATGCATATAAACAACTACTTCCAGATATTGCACACCTGCTTTTCTGCCACTCGCCTGAGTATGATACTTTGAGCATAGAGGCTCCTGTTTTGTCCACACGGTCCAAAGCATCAAAAGCATTGAAATTGATACCCCACCCTGATGGTATATGCTCAATTGAGACTAAGTTATCTCCAAATATCATCTCAGGAGGCGCAATCCCCAGCTTATTCGTCATCTCATCAATTGGGCCAGCTTTAAGAATTGGCAGTTTCTTGGTGGTTATCCTGAAGCCCTTCCTTGTTATCGAGCTTGGTGGTGTGGCTTCTGGTGAGGGGAAGCTCGACTGTGTTCCATTCGAGGCAGCCATGGTAGCCAGTCTAATTTTCCTGATGACGGTTTAAGATTAATCTTGGGCCTTTTAACTGCAATGACAAGATAGACCTAGAAGGGAAAAATAAATAAACAAGAGCGACTTGTTGTATTTGTGGTCCAAGTCATTCCTACCTTTTGCTGGTTTTGAACTCTATCACGTGGACACTTGATTGAAAATCTTAGGTAAGCCGGATGTAAACGGGCCGATGGTTGCTATGGCAACGCCGACGCCGGCGGTTGGTGTAAATAGAAAACCACGAGCAACTTGAAGGAGTTTCTAATTCTTTAACAGCAGAAAACAACTCTCTTCTCTCTTGTTCCTTGCCTCCTCTCTCATATTTTGGATTGTATACTGTGTTGTAACGGCTCCCGATTTCTCGACCTGTCTATACTACTGCCCTTCCCGCGCAAGATGTCTACGAAGACCCTGGAAGCTCGCTTTGAGCGGTTGGATGTGAACGATGAAAACGAACCGCCAGCCAGCCATCATATCAAGGCAAAGGTATAGCCGGTCTCAATAACATTTCAAAGCCACAGGGAGCTAATAAGTCATAGGGAGTGCCATCAAAATGCGGCCCAGCTCCAGCTCATGGGAATCCCACCTCCAACAGGCCGAACCTCTTGAAGCTAGCGCTGCAAAACAATAACGAGTCCAAATCACACAGAAGCCCTCTGGAAGAGGAATCTTCTAATACATTGCGCATGAATGACTCGGCTGGAAACCCTAAGAAATTCCACCTCGGCATGTTCGAGATTGGCAAACCACTCGGCAAAGGAAAGTTTGGAAGAGTATATCTTGCCCGTGAGAGGTCAACCGGCTTCGTATGTGCATTGAAAGTACTGCATAAGAGCGAGCTTGTCCACGGACATGTTGAGAAGCAGCTTAGACGCGAGATTGAGATCCAAAGCAACCTACGACACCCCAACATCCTGAGATTATATGGTCATTTCCATGACAGCAAGCGAGTATTCCTAATCCTTGAGTTCGCCGGTAAGGGTGAATTATACAAACACCTTCGAAAGGAAAACCGCTTCCCTGAATGGAAAGCAGCCCAGTACATTGCCCAGATGGCAGCTGCGCTGAAGTACTTGCACAAGAAGCATGTCATGCACCGTGACATCAAGCCAGAGAATATCCTTGTTGGCATCCACGGAGAGATCAAGATTAGTGATTTCGGCTGGAGTGTGCATGCCCCCAACAACCGAAGGCAGACGATGTGTGGTACTCTCGACTATCTCCCTCCAGAGATGCTCAAGCCAGGCAACGGTGATAAGTGGTATGATGAGAAGGTCGACCTGTGGAGTTTGGGTGTCCTTATATATGAGTTCCTCGTTGGTGAAGCTCCCTTTGAAGACTCCCCAGTCATGACCCACAGGAGAATTGTACGGGGAGAGATGACCATCCCATCTTTCGTGAGCCCAGAAGCCAGAGACCTTATCAAAAAAGTAAGTCCCCTAACTGTATGGATATGTTCAAGCCCAATATAGTATTGCTAACATTTTCTTCATTAGCTTCTCGTTCTTGACCCTGCCAGCCGAATCCCGCTGGATGAAGTTCAACGACACCCATGGATCTTGAAGTACTGTGTCAAAGGCGAGAGAGTGGCGCAGAGAGAGGCTGCCGCCAGCAAGAGCAAATCGAAATAAATGAAGCAGAATTAAGGAGGGGGTATTTTCAAAGTCTATCTATATTGTTACAGCGTCATTGTTTGAGCGTTCCTGTTTGCCTGTGCATTTGATTTCCTTTCTTTTTTGCGTTCCCATAATATCTGGTGTTATCGGTATATTTCGTCAAATGGTCGTGTATCTCGGAAGCAGCTTTCCCATACTTCATCTACCACTCTCAAAGCTTGTTCCTTGCTTTTGCATGCCGGTCTCGCCTGTACGGACATGACGGCTCTTCGTCTCACACACTCCTGGTGGTGGTTAGCCAACTTAAATTCAAATCTTCCAAAGAACTCGTTCGCCCATCTACACTCTCCGCTCAAGGAGCTAGCTCGTATCTAGTATGATGTTAGCCATCAATTGGCATTCCTCGCTAGTAGGAGCAGCATACCTCCGCACAAGCTGCATGCCTCAAGTTGTTTGTCCAGTCAAGCTTGAACCGCAAATGGTCGTAGGCATGTACCATCTCGTGAGCCAAGGTATCCTCAAGCTGGCTTTGGCTGTTCATGGCATTCGCGCATATCTGAATTCCATACTCTGGATCAAACCCTCCACCTTGCCGAGCGGTACATCTCCGGCAATATATATTCTTCGATGATATGTCGCCTCCAAGCTGTCTGATGTTATCTTGAAGGAACCGTATAACAGGGCCTATAAGGTAAATGAACCATATCAGTAATAGATCAAGTAAGACCGGTGACGAAGGCGTATATGAACTCATACTATAATTCAGCAGATAATCTCTCTGTGATTCGCACCGCCTGCAGTCTGATTCTTCATTGCGAAGGTCTCTCGCGAGTCTGAACTGCTCAACACCCTCGGGTGTCATCTTGCCTGTAACCCCGGCGTAGATGTTGCGGAAGTGAGTAAGGATATCGTCCCCGGGTTTGAACCCGGTAGGCTTCTGTCCCTTATCTGAGGCATCGCTGCCTGTCGTCTGTGATTCTGCCATGGTCTCCTGCTTCTGCTTCTCTTCTTCTCTGAATCTTCTTGCTCTACTTCTTTGCGACCTCCCGAAAAAGCTCCCGTCCAGAATGATGGATTACATAATTAAACGGATTAATTATATTCCTTTTCTCTCCCCTGATTGGCTGAGAGCGGAACTTTTGGCTTCGGAGTTTTTTGGCCCCCGGCATTTTATTTTCTTGTCTCTGATTGGCTGGATGTTCGTCCTTTTTCGCCCTTTTTCAGCAAAAGGCTGAATCAAAGGCAGGAGAGAATCTCGAAAAACTTCTCCTCATCCTGGCCTTTTTTATACCAAGCAAAGAGCATGGGAGGGCCAGCACACTAGTGTTAACGGGCCAGAGGAAGAGAACGTGTCTTAAAGTCCATAAATATCTTCTTGCTCGAAGAAAAGTTCTTGTAAAGTTTAACCCGGCTACTTTCGGCTGGTTCCTTTGGTCCCATCAGAGAAGAGGCAAACATCTGTCTTATCCTCCAAAGGTACCAACAATATTTTCATCGCGCAGAACTATTCCCAGAGTCTGAAACCACATCTCTGTTAGAGGATAACGGATTTTTGACTGCTTGATACTCTTGCGACCTATTCAGACGACGACTGTCAGCAGCCATGGTGCAGTCTCAGAAGAGAACCCCTCCTTCGGTGATGGAGACCGTCACCGAACAGATCGGCAACACCCCTCTTGTTCGACTCAACAAGCTCCCTAAGAGCCTGGGTATAGAGGCAACAGTTTATGCGAAGCTGGAATTTTTCAATGCTGGCGGCAGTGTCAAGGACCGCATTGCCCTGCGCATGATCGAGGAGGCTGAGCGCTCAGGAAGGATAAAGCCAGGCGACACATTGATTGAACCGACCAGTGGCAACACGTATGTAACGTACCCTATTATACAGAGAACCATGCAGGATGCGCAAGTGGCAGAACCTTGCCTGGCTTGCTTTTGAGTTGTGATCTAACGGTCGGTGATTTTTAGGGGAATCGGATTGGCCCTTGTTGCAGCTGTCAAAGGTTTGGCTTCAATCCTTGCCCTTACAACATGAACACCCTTGCTGATGATATATTTCCCCTTTTAGGATACAAAGCGATCATTACTTTGCCCGAGAAGATGTCCGCAGAGAAAGTTGCTGTACTTCGTGCCCTGAATGCCACTATCATCCGTACCCCTAACGAGGCTGCCTTCGACTCTCCTGAATCCCATATCGGAGTAGCCAAACGTCTGGAGAAGGAGTTGCCTAATGCGCACATCCTGGATCAGTACGGCAACGAGAATAACCCTCTTGCACATGAGTTTGGAACCGCAGAAGAGATTTGGACTCAGACGGAGGGTAAGGTCAATGTAGTGATTGCTGGCGCTGGTACTGGTGGCACAATCACCGGTATTGCCCGTGGCCTGAAAAAGCACAATTCTTCCATCAAGGTTATTGCAACTGACCCCCATGGATCTATTCTTGCTGTTCCTGAGCCTCTTAATCAGGAGCACCTCAATGAGCCATATAAGGTTGAGGGTATTGGATATGACTTTATTCCCGATGTCCTTGACAGGAAAATTGTTGACAAGTGGTACAAGACTGGAGACAGAGAGTCATTCAAGTACGCTCGACAGCTCATTGCTGAGGAAGGCTTACTTGTTGGCGGTAGCAGTGGAAGTGCTATTGATGGTCTAGCTCAAGCAGCAAGGGATGGCCAGATTGACAAGGATGATGTTGTTGTTGTTGTTCTGCCTGATAGCATCCGAAGCTACTTGACCAAGGTATGTCCAGTCTCTGTACCATTATACTAATGATTCTGGATACTAACCTTTTCGTTCTCCTCCATAGTTTGCTGACGATGACTGGCTCGCAGCCAACAACCTGCTGCCTGCCACCGCAGAAATGCCACAATCACCACAACTACCTCCCCAGGGATCAACCGACCAGTTCGGTGGCGCTAAGGTTAAGGCTCTTCGTCTCAAGCCTGTCACCACTGTGTCTGCTAACTCACCTTGTTCCACTGCCATCGAGACCATGAGAGATAAGGGCTTTGATCAGCTCCCAGTCCTGGCGGCTCAAAGCCGAAAGCTAGTCGGTCTTATAACTCTTGGAAACACCCTCAGCTGGATTTCCCGCGGCAGGGCTACCGGCAACAGCCCCGTCTCAGATGTCATGTTTGACTTCTCTAAGATTTCCGAGATCATTACTGACCCTCGAAATCTGGGCAAAGCTCCCAAGCCCACTGACGACGACATTGGCAAACGCAAAGAATTCGTTGAAATCACCATGGATACTCCCCTGAGCGTCCTCAACCGTTTCTTTGAATGGAATAGTGCCGCCGTTGTGACCGAAAAGGATGAATCTGGCCACATGAAACCACTCGCTGTTGCAACCAAGGTCGACCTTCTGACTTGGCTCCTGCAGCAGAACAAGTTGAGCTAGATATTTCTAGCTTCATCGCCTGCTAGTTTCCTTTCAATCGTTCTCGTTTCACACAATCTGGAGGTGGAGTGAGTTTAGGTCAACGTTGTCACGACATGTCTTTTCTCCCCTTCCGTTTCATAGTTCTTCAACAGGCATGCCTTACAGGTTAGATGTTTCAACGACTGCTGCATTTGTTTCTGATTGGGTGTTTGTATTTAGATCTCTCTCCCTTTTTCAACATTTAAACCGTATACACGGATGGGATAATACCATAGTAATACATCGAGTGTTTTTGTTGACGGCTGCTTTATAAGTTGTGAATTCCAAATGAATCTTTCAGACAAGAAAGAGTGGTCGAAGGGGTTATAGAGCGGCAACAAGACACGCGCGTTTAATGGTGGGAGTAATGCATTATGGGCACGCTGCCAGTTACTATGGCGGTTGTGTACCGGGAGGATAGGTTGAGAGGAAGGTTTTGAGAGCGAGGACGAAATCTCCTCAAATGGCCTTGTTTTTAGAAAATGATGTTTGGTTCAGTCAAGTTGATGCTTTAAGGTCTTCATAATCGTTCATAGACATTGACCCATCCATTCTTCCCAGGACCGAAGGCCAGACGTGGCATCGTCTCTGTAATCCGTCGTGACGCTTCCTCCGAGGAAATCAACCTTGACACCAGATTCCTCTTCCAGAAGCTGGAAAGTAAAAGGTTGACTGCCAAAAGCATCGGCCTCATCATCACCTTCCGCATCAGGATTGATCACACCCTTACGTCTCGTCTCTCGGACTGCTTCGATTTCGGCTTCTAGCTTCTCCTTCACCATGGCCGGCGGAATAGCAGCAAATAGATCCTGCTTGTTGGCTGCTACTAAGACGGGGGTGCTGCGTGCCCGAGTGGATGCTGAGAAACGATGGAGTATTATCAGAACGTCATAGAGGTATCTTGCAATATCGGCTAGTTGACCTGCGTCCATCAAAGTACTAGCGTCGATCATGAAAATCACGCCGCGAACTTTGGTCTTGGACTGTTTCTGCTTTGAAGGATCTAGCAACTGGGCAATAACTTCAAGGTCACGAAGCTTCCCATGCCCCGGAGTATCTCTGAGAGAGAAAGTCACCCGCTGTTTGGCAGCCTGTGCCAATGTCGGGTCATTGACAGAACGGTATTTGTCTGAGCCTTTTCTAACGGCCGGATGAAGTGCTACCGGAAACGTAGAGGAGACCTGGGAAGTATGGGTTGGTCGAGGCTCGAGGTTTGAGGATGTACCTTTTTCGAGCTACAAACAACCTGTTAGTGAAAAATGGCCGAGCAACGAGGGAAGAATAATACTATAGCTAACTTTAGCACAGAGAGCTGTCTTTCCTGACCCGCTAGAGCCCAGTAAAATGAACTGATCAGACTTGCTGGTGGGAGCTGTACGGTATAGGAAGAGGTGTAAGGCCAAAGGAAACAAGAATGCCACCAGACAAGCGGCCACAATAGCAACTGGATTCGCTGAGAGCAGGTAGGTCGCGATCTCACTCGCGGAGTTCCATTGCATCGTGGCGTTTCTATTCTCTGCTGTCCTGCGGCGGTCTTCTGGAATCCACAGATTGTGCGCCTTTTTATAGAGCAGTCGGGTTCCCTTAACTAACTAGCTGGTGTGCCACAAAAGGCTGTTAACAGTCTTTACCCGGACCACACCACCTTCTCCTGAGTATAACCAACGAGTCTATCGGCAAGGGTTTACCATGAGCGAAGCCGGAAGTGCGTCAGCAGTTGGAGAGGCGGCAGGGGTCCCGTTGTGTTGGTCGAAGGCCTCACACTCTGCACTTTCGGCTCTTTAAATGCTGCATCGCAAACAAACCGCCGGGCGAGAAGCCATATCACGTGGATCATTACTGCTTATGTCACTTTTACATAATACGTGACTAAGTCATCTTACTCATCTCTTACTCAGCCGTTCTTATCCTCTCTTATCCTGCGTTTGCTTCGCTTTCTTCCAACACCGAAAGCCAGCAAAATAATAACGACCAAAGAAACCATCGTCACATCGGCCGAAACTCCTCGTATCCTCGTCGACTATAAATACTTAGCGCTCTGCTCCCCCCTCTGGGGCGCCAGGATGATGTCCTTTCTCCCTCTTCTCACCCTTGTTGCATGGTGGTTCAGCATCGTCTCTGCTGTCGAGTTCCAGGCTCCACAGGCGCTGGCAGTGCTTGATGCCACCTCCCCCCTTGATATCGAATGGTCGTTCCCGGAGAACGCTACCTCGTTCCTACTAGGCACTGATTACAGTATATGGCTGTGTGCGGGAGGCAATGAAGACAACACTCATGTAAGATTGGAAACAAAAGGACATTTCGAGCGCTGTTAATTGATAGCTAAATGTGTTGTGAAGGAACGCGTGGCACAGTTATTTAAGGGGACCATCTTGAGCAACCCGGTCCAGACCACCGCTGAGGTCGACCCGAATGCTGGAAGCGAGTACCCCAATGGCTAGTAAGTGTCGATTAACTGGGTTATGTTTATAGCTGGTATGGTGCTAATTGGTTTCCAGCTTCCTTGAAGCTGTCCTCAATGGAATGCAAGGGTACTCATACCGCTTCACCCTCACTGGCATGACTGGCTCCTTCTCGCCCAATGTTGAGAAGGGCCTTCGATCGCTCCCTAAGCCGGACGAATCAGATACTGCTCGAATCCAAGCACGTCAAGTTCCAGCTCCTGGCGCTGCAGTACCCCCAGCCCCTGGCGCAGCTAACCCTCAAGCACCCGGTGCTGCCAATCCCCCAGCTCCAGGTGCTGGTGCCCCCCCAGCGCCAGCGCCAGGAGCAGGCAATCCCGCAGCACCCGTACCACCAGGAGGCAAACCACCTGCCGGAGCACCACCTGCTGGAGCACCACCTGCCGGAGCACCCCCAGCGGGAGTACCTCCCCCTGCTGCTGCACCTCCAGCAGGCGTACCGCCAGCAGCAGCTCCACCACCTGCAGCAGAACCAACTATTGTCCAGACTGTACCTTACCCAGAGCAGACTGGACTCACAAGATACGCTCCCGTACCAAAGCAACCACCGAAGAAAATAGTTAAAAGATCAGCCACACCTCAGTTTCCTACCAGCCCATACAAAGTTGCTACCACTTTCTTACCACCACCTACTGTCAGGACTACCATTTCTGCTTCTGTCACCCTGACTGCCGAAGCCCATGAAAACACAGTGAGCTACACTCCCTGAATCTACTAAATTCATGAAGCAACCATTGACTTATGTCTTATAGCATCCTCCAGTTGACGAAGACATGGCAAGGTTCCTCAGGCGGTGGCAAGATTGAGCCACGGTCTTGGTAATATGATATAAGCTCGATAATAGCAATACCCCCAATATGTACACCCTAATCACGAAAGCATAGGTTATTGGCGTTTCGAGGTAGACATGGGACAGTCCGTGGTACAGAACACTCACTAGCCCATCTGGCATTTCTCGCAACCCTCATGAATATCCTTTCTGAACACGGATATAAGGAATGGTTAAACACCCTGCCTATAGGTATACTAGCTGGCTTTAGATGCCTACGGCAACCCTCACACCTCTTATGTTCCTACTCGAGCAACCAGAGCTATCCGCCGTTGTTAATGATATGATGATGATGTTGTTGAGAATACATCTAGAACTTCACCTCTATGGCAATTGTGTTCCCACCTTCTATATACAGCATTGTGCACCCAGAAAACAAAACTAGCCGGTTCTCTGTATTATTGAATCCAGCAGCACCTTTTCTCTTGCCTCCCTTTTCTTCCTTCACGTAAGTCCCAGGTCAAATCCATTTAACGAAACAGGAATAAGAAAAAAAAAGAGAAAGAAAGAAAAAGAAAAACAAGAAGCAACGGAAAAATGAACAGAACCAATACAGCTTTGCTAGCATGCAATAGCTACCAGACTACTGGTTGGCAGAAGCAGCGGGGATATCATTAAGGGGATTTTTGTCGTTATACGTCTCAGGAGCTGGTGAAGACAGGCTCGTTGGGGTCATGCATCGACTCGGCATTTCAAAGAAAGCCAGGTTCTCTCTGGACACAGCATACTCACTGCCAGAGTATCCCAGCACAGAATGGATCTGGGTGCTCCTCAAGCCCTTGATCCGGGAAAGCTCGGCATAGCCGTAATTGATAAGTCCTCTACCTACCTCCTTCGCTTCCTTGGGAGTACTGCAGGCCATGGGGTAGTCATCGTTTAACTCAATCTGTGATGGACGCGGCGCAACCATCACCTTGATGGCTTCCATGTATCCAAATTTGCCCTCGACTGCGATTACGCCGGATGGAAGGAGATAGCCTGTGTCTCGGATGGTGTTGTATGCCTCTTCGTCGATATAAACGCTTCCGTGAGGCTTGAGGCCATGGAGAAGCCAGAAGGACCGAGAATGCACGGGCGAGTCTGATGGGAGGAAACAGGTGTGCAACGGTGGATCGGGCTTTGTTTCTTCCACGCCCAAAGCACTATCGGATGAAGTAGCGTCATTGGACGAATGATGCTCGATAATCTCCTCGATAGTTCCGGGACGGGAACTACGGGTGATGACAGTGGTAACGCCGGCACTTGTGGCTAGTCTTGCCGCCACTATCTTTGAGCCCATACCACCGGTACCAAGTGACGATCCAGCGGAGGACACGTCGGCTTCAAGACTTGAGATATCCTGGACAATGTCGATAACCCGAGCATCGGGATTGGTCCGGGGGTTGGCGGTGTAGAGCCCATCTACATCGGTCATAAGGAAGAGGTAGTCTGCTTCGATCATCGCTGCAGTGATAGCAGAAAGCGTGTCATTGTCGCCAAATTTGATTTCCTATTGGATTGAAACCTCGGGTCAGCAACCGATATCTCAACATGCAGAGATAACGAAAGGGATGGGTGGCTGGTTTGAACATACCGATACAGTCAGAGTATCATTCTCGTTGACGATTGGGATTACACCCATGCTAAGAAGCTGAGCAAGTGTATTTTGGGCATTTACATATTGAGTCCGCTATAATAACTTGTTAGCCGATTGTCTTACCTTCTTGTCTTGGTTTGGCCAAACTTACATCAACAATATCATTCCGCGTGATAAGGATCTGGGCAATGGGCTGGCGCAAGTGGCTAAACAAGCTGTCCCAGGTACTCATGAGCTGGCATTGACCGACTGCTGCCAAAGCCTAAAGGGGTTGTGTCAATTGGCAGGTTATTCAGCGGTAGGATGTGGAGCATACCTGAATCGAAGGGAGATGCTTTGGTCTCTCAGCAACGTCCATGCGTCGCATACCAACGCCTACAGCGCCCGACGAGACGATGATAACATCATGGCCGTCTTTTCGCAGCTTCACCGCCGCTTCGACAATGAGTGTCAGGTTTGACAAGATCGGCTCGTGGGACTTTTCATCCACAATGGAGCTCGTCCCTATTGTCGACACGGTTAGTCATAACGTCAGGACATATGGTCAGCGTCAACCTACCGAGCTTTATCACCACCTTTAACGACTTTGAACCCGCCATCTTAACTCCGTGTTGTCTGGTCTAATTCAGTACGAGCTGGGAGATATCCATGGGTATGACGAAATGCGGGATAAATAGGTCTCTCTACTCAGCGAGCACACAAAAGGGGGAGAAAAGAAAAAAAGAAGAAATCGTCTGACTGTGAGTATCAAAACCCCTTCAACACCGTCTTCTGATATATCAAATCTATCCTGACTGGCCGCGCTGTTGAGGCAAAGGAGAAGCAAGAGTGAAATGTCCTTTATATAAATATCTCTTCGCCGAGTTTCCCTTTTGGGGCGGAAGATGTTCTGCCGCCACTTATGTAAGCGGGGCAAAGTCATGTGGGTCCCGAAGCCTCTTTTTTGCTTTTTCTTTATTTCTATTTTTTTTTTTTTTTTTTTTTTTTATTCTATCTTTGCATGTGGAAATGAACAACATCAGCGTTCAAGCTTGAGGTCGACCGCAGTTGACCTGCTCGCTGGACTTACACCAAACTGTCGTCATGCGTACTCCGGGAGCCTCGGAGAAGGGACACGGAGACAGGCGTCTCACCGCACTTGCCGTGCTAGGTTTTGCCGCCACATGCTGATATCGTCACCACTCCCGGGGCCGTCGCTGGAAGAAAGAAATTCCCGCTGCTGAGGCTAATAGGCTTTGGAGCCGCCCAAACCATCGACCCCATGGAGTTGCTGAGCTGAGCGGACCTTCACCGAGCAAGACGGAGGGCGGAGACCAAGGCTCCAAGGGGAGCAAAGCAGATTGCTCTGGTGCCTGCAAGTGGAGTCCCGTTGTACCAAAACACGGTACGTTTGGAAGGATATACTCGAAGGATCGTGTTTGCCCTTTGACCGCCTGAGATGGACAGACACGGGAGCAAAAGGATGGGGGGGGAGGATTGCTGGATGATGCCCGTATCCAGTTTATAAGGTCTGGTATTGATGTACATATTGGTAGAGCTGGCTGTGGGAGAGGACCGAGTATGGATAATATATATCAAACCGTTGTACACTGACGTCGATTTGCACCACTTATTTGCCGCGGCTGGTTCCGCAGATGAGATGAGGGATATACTTATACAAAAAGTACTTTATGCAGGCCAGGATCAGGGGTGAGATTAAAGCCTTCGTGGGTTGATGGCCTGACTGGTGGACTATCATTGAAGATCCCCAGGGGTATGACAACATCCAAGTAACAACGATTGCATAAGAGAATATATTTAAGTAGAATCCAAAAAAAAAAAAAAAAAAAAAAAAATGGAAAAGAAACATATATTAGAGATAGTAGAGCAGTGAAGAAAAAGTTAATATTACTTTAACAGGTAAAAGTACCATCTCTAAAATATCGCAAGCTAGTTTATCCGTAGTATACATTGTTATTAAAACAAAACCATCCATCATAACTCAGAATATCATGCTGCTATGCAATGCGGGTGCTTTCAGACGCTTTCCAGATTGACATCACTGGTAAGATAAATAGGTATAACACAAAAGAAAGGTTCGACAAAGGAAAAAGCAAAAGGAAAAGGATGATAAGAAAAATATAAGTCCCTTTACAAAGGAGATGGATGGTCAACAAACCAAATATTTGAAGAAAAAAAGGAGGGAGAACTCCTAGCTTTGCCTTGCCTTGCCCAAAGTAAAACGCCTTTCCCATAATTGTCCCCGTTGGTAACCCCTGGCTTGCTCATCGCACAGCTGGTGCGAAGAATTGTTGGAAAAAAAAAAGGAAAGACAAAAAAAGAATCCGTTGAAGTATTGGTTTTCGGTATGAAAGTGACGGAGGTGTCTGTATCCATCATATTTAGACGTCCATCATTTCGGCGTCTTCGTTAAGTACCTCGTCAGCCGGTCCCCAGTTCCCTTCGAAGATCGTGGCGCCCGCTCGACGTCTCTGTTCGGCCCATTGTACCCCGAAGGACTGAAGGATTTCATCCGCAACAGGACGGTCTGGAGGGTTAGGGGATATCATCCATCCAACTAGTTTATCGAGAGCTTGGTCGTTGTCTGCATCAACCATGAACGCTGGCGGCTCTGCAAGTTCCCCACTGCGGGCACTAGGGGCGCCCTTTCGCTGAGACAGCTGGAAGTAGTTGGAAGAAACATCCTGTGAGGGGCAGTCTTTGTCGAAATCGTCAAATGAAGACAGGTTTCCAATTGATGATTCAACTAGTGGATTACCCGAAGCATCACGGAGGATGTTGCTGCTTTCTCCGCTCCAAGTCAGGCTTGGAACATCACTCATGTCCCCGTTTCGGAGCTTCTGCCACGAAACTCCATTATCTGGGAGCTCAACATTGCCTGCAATTTCAAACATGATCAACCCGAGAGCGAATATGTCTGCAGGCTTGTCATATCGGCCCATCAGTACTTCTGGTCCAATGTACTCTCTATCACCTTCACCCTCGATTCCAGCTGCAGCAGGCCAACGAGTGGCAAGGCCAAAGTCTGCAATCTTCAGCACACCTTCGAAGGTGATGAGAATGTTTGCTGGTTTCAAATCCAGGTGGATAAAGCCTGTATCATGGATATGTTTCAAGCCCTAAAAGGAGTTAGTTAATTCTCATGTGTATATAATGAGTGTAGACAAACTTACATGTGCCAACTCTAGTAGGATCTTCCATATCCTAAAGTCGTCAAGCCTAGCTTTCAGGCCTACCTGAGATAGAAAGACATCAAGACTACCTTCCTCGCAGAACTCGGTCTGGATGTAGAGGTATCCTTTATCCTCCCAGCTATCAACATAGCTGATTATATGATCAGAGCCATGAAGAGCCTTGAGAGCGACGACTTCATTATTTCGTCTTTCTCGGTCCTTGGATCCAGCATATGGCTGTTTCGATTTCTTGACAGCCCATAACTTCCGGCTGCCGGTATTTGTAGGGGTCGAGTTAGTTGAGAAGGATGTCTGAGACTGGAAGAGTTGAGTTGATGGTGGAGAAACACGCTCTGAGACTGAGTAGACGAGGGAAAATTCACCGGTACCAATGAGCTCCACTTTGTCAAAGCGTGAGTTGAGGCACGGGTCAATATCAGGGGAATTATAGCCGCCAAGAGGGAAGCTAGTTCGTTTCCCGAGATTTGGAAACGATTCACGGGGAGCGGTGGGAGTTGCAGGTAGAGCTGAGGCATTTGACTCTACAAGACTAAAGGTGTGATCATCAGGAGCTGTGATCGAAAGATTACTGGCATCGGGAGTCAAAGTATGATCTCGTGGTGTTCTTGGAGGCCCAGACTCTGGCGTTTTACAGTAGAACGGGCTCGCTGAAATAACGATCCATTAGTATATAATGTAAGATTGAATGCAATATTGAAAAATAAATCAAAAGGACCGGAGGGAGAGGGGTCTATCTTACAAAATAAACCGGATTCGCCTCTGTTGGCATCAGAGTTTGGTTGACTTGCAGCTTGGAATTGGAATGGGGCGGAATTGGAGACGTGTTGAGGGAAGAGGCCTCGCCTGGTGGGTGTGGGAGGAAGATCAGAGTCTGTGGCACATTGGCTGTCAAAAGGGGCCGATGGTGATCGTGGAATAGAGCTAATATCACCATCGATACTAGCCAGACTCCCACGGCGGGAGCAGGTTGAAACGACACGGGAAGAGGGAGCCTTGACACGATGAGTGAAGGGGGTCTCAAAGGAGCCGGAAGACTTGTGGTAAGGAAGGAATTTTGCGCTGTTAGCTTGGTGCAGAGGCTTGGGTCCAAAAAGCACATTTGATGCGCGTTTGCAAGGAGTCTCGGGCATGTTGTGGCTCATAGTCGAGCTGTTACGGAAGTCCGAGACATTCTTGTTTTTCTTCGAAATCAGGCCGGTGGACATGAAAGCCGCAGGTAATGGTTTCACAAGCTTGTAGTTTTCCGGTGTGGAAAAGGGAGAAGCGGAGGCATTGGAAGATTCCTGTCGTAGAAGACTGGGAGCCCTTGGTGCCACAGCACCAATTGGCAGAGACTTGGAAAAGTTAAGGATGGGCCTGGCTTCCGAGAAATTTGAGCTTACAGCTCTGTTGGTGGGAGAGTCATCCCCGACGCTTGAGCTGGACGAGGATTGCGTAATAGTGCGAGAGAGAGGATGAGTAGGAGGGTGGAAAGTAGATGACGAAGGAGCTGTGAACAGAGAAGTAGATGGATTCGGAGATGGAGAAGAGTCTGGTCCATTGAGGGGAAGGAATGTCGAATTGTCGATTGCCATGCGATTCTTGTTCTGTAGCTGAAGCGATCCATCATTATCCGCACTTATCTTCCGAACAAAGGGAGACCGCTCCGGATGTCGTTGCTGGATGGTAGATCGCCTCAACGAGGAAGAACGTTTTGGTATGGTAGAGAAATAGTGACCCGGTGGTTGGAACCGAGGTTCCTTTGGGTTCTGGTTGTTTAGGGGAGAATTGATTGCTGAGTAGCTAGACTCGAATACGTCAAAGTCGGCGCCAAAGCTAACACCATGCAAGCTTCTACGCTTGGCTGAAGGACTCTCAGCACCAAGGGAATCCATCGTCATGTTGACATCTGCCCGTTTCAAGGGGCTGGAGGAGAGTGGTGTCGTTGACTCCATGTTCCCACTTCGGCGTTTCTCTCGTCCAGCGGTAGAGGTATCTTCTGGATGTTGCTCGATGGGAGAGGATAGAATGAGGGGGCTCTCCTGGCCGCCTCTGAAGAGCACTGGGCTCGGTGGTGTGGTAGAGACCTTTTCATCCATGGCGTCGATGGTGGGAGGTTCTGGAGAAGCAGCCGAGTTTCCGTTATCTCTAGACTCGCCCAGTACCCGTTTTGCTGAGCCGGAGGAGCTACTAGTCTTGGAAGAATGCATGAAACGACTCCGGCGCATAGGAGGACGATGGATTTTTGCACTGGGAGGGAACGGAATAGCCACGGGAGACGGAGTGTTTGGGTTAGGAACGAAAAGAATCTTGCCGTGGGAGGTCTGTTTAGAAGGTGAGAGATTGGACGAAGTGAAATTTGGGTGCCTGGTTGCCGGCGAGTTGAACGTGGATGGAGAGAGTAATCTGAAGTCCGTTGTCTTGGACGGACTCCTCGATAGCGAGCGTCGAAGTTGACTTAGGGCCGAGTTCTTGTGTGTGGCATGAAAACTGCTGGAGGAGAGGTGCAGAGTGCCTCCAGCATCACGGTGAGGAGAGAACGAGGCCACCATTGCTCCAGGCCGATAAGCTGCAAGTGAAGTGAATGCTGGCTCTCACTCACACACTTTCTTTAACTCAAGCAGGATTTCTGGGCGGGCTGGTAGTGGATGAGTCCTGTCTTGAGGCCACACAGGGAGAAATAACAAGGCTTCCTTATCGCGCCTGGTATGATGAATCTCCTCCCCCTCCACGCGTCACAGACAGGTGATCTTTATTGATAACAGACCACAGTGAAGAGGCTCACAGTCCGCGTTTATAGTAAAAGAAAGCAGAGGGGTTTATTCACAAGTGGCTTGCGAGTTGCCAGCTGACAGACAGACAGACAGACAGATAGCGAGAGACAGGCCTAGAGTGCCGGTGTAACTTCCATCAGCAACGCCTATGTATCAACTCCAGCGCGCGAGTCAGCACCGATACTCATGCTCGACAAGAGGTCTCTGCTGGCCACTTTATCAAGGCCAAACGAGTGTAAGACGACCTGGCTGATGAAACTTGACTTGCTGGCGGCCGATCGCGACAGACGTGGTGCTGAGTTGGCTGGCGGGAGGCCGGGCCGAGTCGTTATCCACGCTGTCAGAAGGAGGTTTTTAAGGAGCGACAACAAAAAAAAAGGGGGAAATCCGAGTCGCAGGCCAACGCGATGCCAGATACCAGCAGCTGAATTAACGGGTGCTATGCTGGTGTTGTGGTGGTTGATGGCTGTCGCTGGGCGTGTCGTGTCGTGGTGGCGGTTCGAGGGACGCAGCGGAGGTTGGCGATGTTGTCTGATTGTGGTTGATTTGACGATGTTGAAGTTCGAAAGATAAAGCAAAAAAGCCTTTTTTTTTTTTTTTTTTTTCTTCCCTCACGCGATTCTACGCGTTGTTGTTATGATTCCCTGGTTGGGTTTAGCGTGGAAAATCTCGTGACGGAAAATGATGAGTCAGCAGGGCTAGCCTGCTTTGGGAAAAAAGACAACAAACAAGACAAACAAGACAAACAAACAAAGAGAGATAAGATAAGATGAGATTAGATGAGATTAGATGGAAGCGGCGAGGCGGCCGAAGACAGCGACAGCAGCAGAAGGGCACGAGAGTCGCAAGGAGAAGAAGGAAAAGAGAAGGATAAGGTCTATCAATAAACTAAATCGACACAGTCTATATATATATACACACATATATATATATAATGGAGTACAAGTATGTTCTGTGGAGGGCGCTAACTCTATTTACATGGATAACCGTGGGCGCAACGCCGTACCTGCATTCTTTTTATAGCGTGCCGTAGCATGCATGGAGGACGACGGACGGCCAACGCCCTGCATCAACCGGCCCCTCGATGAAGCAGGCAGCGTCTCACCTGGCGCTGGACGTCTGCAGGGCAAGGAGCTCGCGCCGGACTCCGTCCAGCACCCCTAAAGCCTTGTCGCTGCTGGGGCCAAACACCCCGACATCCAGCGTGTTGTTTCTAACCGCTGCCTCGATATCCACGGACGGCTGTGGAGATGGCTTGTTATTAGCCTCCTGCTTTTCAGGGGAATCCTGGGATAATTGGGACCCTGGGGGGCTTACCTTGTAAACATCTCCCGCGTTCTCCAATCCAACTCCACTCTCTATTCCAAGCATCTCTTCCAGCCAAAGCTTGCTGCTGCTGCCCTTTGCCGCCGCGTCCACTTGCTCGCTGCCGTTGCTGTTGCAGCTTTCCTTGCTCAGCCACTCGAGCACCTCTTCCTCTGTAACCTGAACTAGTTGCGGGGCACCGCTCGTCGCTGTTGATACCTGTGCCGCCACCTCCGGTAACTTGATGAAGTTCACCGTCGTATCGAGCCTGATTCCTGTCCACTCCGCTATCTGGGCCAGCGACACGGTGCAGTTCTCGGCAGAACCGATTTCATGCAGGTCGCTCTGGATGATGCGCGCTAGCTCGAACACGGAGCGAGACCCTGGATCTTGGATGCGGAGTGGTACAATGTTCAGTGTTGGCGCCACAAGCTCTGGAAGGCCCACCAGGTCGTGGGAGCGGTTGGCCAGATATACACCAACCGTCAAGTCTGCTCCTCGGACATGGAACTCTCTCACATGTACCTTGGAGTAGGCGGCCAGGAACACGGCCTGCACTGATAATCCTTCTGCCTGGCAGATCTTGTTCAGCCAGTCGGTATTGTCCAGGAGACCTGGCTGGTACTTTCCTGCTCCGGCTTGGACGTCCATCACAGGCCCAGAACCTTTTTTGGCAACCGGAGTAATATCATTTCCTAGATAGCCCTTCCAGAATGCCTCCTGCTGGGCTTCAGAAGACATAGCCTTGCCGTACTGTATAAACTCTGCAATGTCTACTGGCGTATTTACCGGGGTAGACACATCCTGGAATAGTGACTCAAGTATATTGATAAGGTGTTGAAGTGCCACTGCATCATAAAGGGCATGGTGGATGTGTAGCATCAGCAAAGTCTCCGTCTCAGTTTGAGAAGCATATAGATAGACAAGTCCCGAGCCCTGTCTGGCCGCGACATGGCGACGATTCGACTTGACCCTCAGATCGGATCTCCAGATTATCGGATTACTAACTTGCTTTAGCTCAGCCAGTACATAAGGCATGCCGGTATCACCAATAGAGAGTATTGTTGTACGAAGTATCGGTAGTTTGGCAGTCATCACTTTCCATGCGTTGTCTAGCTGGCTCTGAGTGATGCGGCCAGTAACCCTGTAGAAGAAGTCTGGGAAGAAGAGCTTTCCATGCGAATTCTTCCAGGTCTCCAGCATGTAAACCTGCCCTGCCGTAGCAGGGAGGAAAACTTCAACATCTTCTCGCTTCATACCATACTTCCTCAGCTGTAGGTCGATGTTGCTATTCTTCAGCGTTTGCAGTGACAAAAGTTTTTCTCTTGAGGTTGCAGTTGTTGGCTTCTTCTCCCGCGCAGAATTGACTATCTCCGCCATTTTCCCAACAGTCTCCGCTCGCAGTATATCCCTAACAGAGATGAGCACAGACTGTCGTCTGAGTAATGAAGAGACCTTGATAGCGCTGATGCTGTCAATACCGAAATGGAAGATGGTGGTATTCCTGGTGATCTCCTCCTTTGGTACAGCAGCAACTAGTGACAAGGTATCTCTGATCCTCTCTTCTAGCAGTGACCACACTACGGGCTCAATGGCGATACCGCCCGGCCCGTCAGGTAAAGAACCGCCGTTTTGAGTCACACTATCAAGGGTTGGCCGTTCTCTGACCTCTACGAAGCCTGCCGTGGGAATCTCTGGTGATTGAATAATAGTTTTGAATACTTGCAACAGCTGCAAGACAAGTTGACTGGTATCTTTCTTGCCTAAAATGGTATCTTTGCAGGCAACACGCCATACAGCAGAGTCATCAATAGCTTCTAGTTCGACACAGATGGAATACTCCACACTCGATGAGCTGTTAATCGATTTATAGAGAGGTTTATCTTGACCTTCCTGCGAACTAGGGCTCTTCTGGTAGATGAAAAGGGTATCGAAAAGGTCCTTATTTCCTACTCCCATCATAGACTTGATCTTTCGTAGTGGGTAGTGTTGATGGGCCAACATGTTACCCAGATTCCTCTGCACGTATTCTAACATCTCGGACACAGAACCGTGTAGGATTCCACGGACGGCAACGGTATTCATTGTTGGGAAAGCAACTTTTGAAGCTTCTTCTGTGTCTCGTCCAAGCATCACTGTGCCGAATAGAACGTCCAATTGTCCCAGGTAGCTGGCAAGGACAATGGTCCAACACGTAAGACCAAGAGCTTGGGCTGTAACGCCGTGGGCCTTGCAGAAGTTCAACACATGTGAGAGTGGTATATCGGAGGCAGTCTCGTCACGGTGCACCAGGGCTCCTTGATCTCCAGCACCTGGCTGTGGGGGAAATATACTCGGCTCTGCATCCGAGAGGACACCTTTCCAGAACTGCAGACCTTCATCTCTGGATGAACTAATAATATCTTCAAGGACATGTTGGTAGGATGGGCGTGCGCTAAATTGGCCTGAGTAGGCGCTCGCTACATCTTGATGGAGAAGGGTGAGTGACCATCCATCGTACATGGCATGAGGCAGAGAAAGGATAAGAAGCAGTTTGGCTCCATCTCGAATGAGGCGTAGGTTGAATAGTGGTTTTGACATTACCAGTGACAATGCTCTTGCTCGCTCCTCTTGAAGAATTGATTCAATGGAATTTTCTGCAATATCAACAATATCCCAGTCAATTTTGATGCTTGACTTGTGAATGAGTTGTGCATAAGAGAAAGGCAAATTTGGGTCAGACACCGTGGCAAAGGAAGTCCGCAAGATTGGGTGACGTTTCGCGATAGTTTCCCAGGCATTCTTCAACATTGTGACGTCCACATCCTCGCTAATCTGCAGGATGTCATGGTTGAAATAGTGAAGGCCATCAGATGATAACATTTCATTGATCATGCCTTCCTGCAAGGGTGTCGCCGGATAGATATGTTCAATATCTCCCAGGTCTTTCCCATCTTCTTCCAAGGACCGTCGCAATTGACTTTCTAAAGATTTCAAGTAAGTCAGGTCGGCTTTAGTGGCGCTGCCATTCACTGTAACCTCGGCCATCATGGTTCGAATAGTCCTATTTCGCATGATATTGCCCACGGACAAATCTATGTGGTCACGTTTCAGGCGAGAGGAGAGTTTGATGGCATCTATGCTATCCAAGCCAACTTCAAGGACTGAGGAGTCCTCATTTATTTCCGACACATCGAGGTTTGCTAATTTAGCAATCTCTTGCCTCAGCAATGAAGCTGCTTGACTCCATTGAAACGAGGTAGTGACGTTGGGCGAAGGGCCTCCAATGACTTTGTTGGCAATTTGCTTCGACGAAGCCTCCAGCGAGGTTGAATTTCCTGAAAAGCTAAGATTTGAGAAGGGTTCTTCCACGAGACTACGTAAAGATAGCCTGAACTGTTCGAGTAAGTCGGAGATACCGTCAGAAGTCAAGATATCTCCTTGACATGCGGCCGTCACCTGGAAAGATCCACTTCCTTGACTCTGCACTTCTA